CTCCTGGTTTCAGGGTTTACTGCTGTCTACTGAAGCTGCTCTTTACAGTTACAACATGACCGAACACGAGGTCTGCCTAGAAGACCACCGACTAGAGCTACAGTAGGCCGAGGAGTCGGCCCTGCGCACGTTACCGTGTCACGTATACTTCAGTGAACACCTTGGCTAATCGGTCGCCGCACACAAGTGCGAACCTGGGTTTGATATCAGTTGATGAGGGACGTTGATGAATCAATACGTTGAACTGTTTGTATGCAAGTGGTCACAATTCTCAAGGACGCACACAAATTGACCTACGGCATTTGTATTCAAATGTTTGCTTTTATTTTAGAAACATTATCATCTATCCTGCAATGAGGTCATATTCTTTACTAGTATTTGTTGTAGTGGTGTACCCAACAAAGACTTTACATAGTGGATTCTAATTGGTCAAGTTTCCTTCTATTGGCTGCTTATCATATCCAGCCCTTTTTGTACTGCTTGATATTAAAGTTGTATTATTATTTAGTAAATACAATTGTTTAGTGGAAGGCTTAGCTGTTGTTTGCGACTCATGGAGGTCGCTGTGGTCAGTGTGGGAGTGTAGTTGTGTCCATCCTTCATTTTTCAACATTGTAGCGTTCCATAGCCCTTAGGGACACAAAGGGAGTGCCGAAATCAGCACATTTTCTTTTCACTTTGCACTCATGATCAGTTCACAATGATAGAAAATCGAAAAACAAGCATTTCCCCACATTTAGAAGTTTGATTCTAAAGCTCAATGGGCAAAATTTCTCCCCAAACCATGTGCATGTTTACACTGTTCCTTTGTCCTGAAACCATGTGGATGTTTACAACGATTGCTCACCGTGCCACGTCTGACTTTTGCTCTGTTCACCTCCTCAAATCCTTCTTAATGGAAAAGTAACGTTAACTTTGCCTTTCATAGCTCCCTTGTCTCCACCTATTTAACCTTTCTCCCTCTCTGTGAATCCACCGCTCTCTCTCGCCCGCTCTCTCGCCGTCTTATATGCCGTCTCTTAAGCGCCACAGCAACCTTCTCAAAGGGATTGGTTGCCAGGAGACAGGATTCTCTCCCCATTGTATGTCGACAAAGGGGGTAGGGGTGTGTGTGCGGTGGGGGTTTACAATCAGCAGCGCCGGAGAGAATTGGAGGCCCAGGGGAGCACCACTCGACAATAATGGGTGTGTGGGAGAGGAGGTGGACAGTGAGGGGTGGGTGAACGGTGGAGGGGGTTATTGGGTGGAGCAGGCTGACACCCTAAATTCCTGTGGTTCATTCCCAGTGTCCCGGTAACCACGCTGGGATGTGCTGTGTCAGACACTGGTGGAGACTGGAGGGGAGGAGATGCACACAGGCAGCGATGAATAGTTTTTTTTATGACCAACGTTTTAATTAGCCAGCATGTCCTCCCCGCCACACACACACACACACACACACAGTGGGACACATTCTTACTACAGTAGCGGACACCAAGCTCAAGGAAGTTGTGTGTTTGTGAGTTTATATGTGCGTTTGCGGTGTAAATGCTCGACTGCATTTACCAGCAGTCCATTTGTCATTATTTTCCTTGGCTTCAACGATGGTCTCTCTTATGAGCCGATAATATACGCTCGGTGGCTGGAAGGCCAGTTTACTTTAGCTCTGTTGTCATTACTCTAAATAAGGACCGACAGTCACCCAGTGGTTCGCCCGCTCACCGTGCCAGAGACTTTGATCAATTGTGCTCTTGAGTAACATGCTCCACAGGTCACACAGTGATAGCTGGTCGTTACTCATTAACATTGTGAGCCTCTACAAGTTTGTGTTATTCCACTACAAGAAGCTATAGTGACAGGGACAGCGTTTGTGTTTTAACGTTTTATCATATAATGTCTTTTTTAGTGCGGAAATGAGCTTCGGCGGTTGGCGTGAGAGGGACTTGGGCTCGCAAATGTTTGATTTGCGCTGCGCATAGACTTGAGTTGCGCTCTCGGATTTTGACATTGATTTTGCCTTCAAGACATTCACGCCCCACAAAAATCTTCATCTCAGCTAAACGGTCCATCGGGACGATGTGTGAGTTGATATGTCTAAATAGACAGTAATGGAAACACAGAAAACATGACGTCCCCCCTTTTCCCGTATAGTCCACCAACTCCAAACTAGTGAGAACAAGCAAGGACAACAGCACACATTGATATGTTACATAGACCTTGTTTTATGAAGGGTCCAATCACATTTTTATGATCTGAAAATTAATATTGGCCTGTTTGGCTGTTATAGCCTTTTCCACCTTATTATTGAATTTACATTTCCCACAGTTCCTCTCAAAGAGTTGTGTGCTCAGTTGATGGATTAAATGGCACGCTTAGATTACACTGGTGGTGTTTACGCTCCTTTGCCTTGACACTGCTGTCACCTGAGCCACCACAACAGATCGGTTCATAAGCTAACAAATCAGGGATGATGTCCTGAAATGGCACATTTTTGTTCCATTTGTGCAACGCTGAAAGGAAGAGGCCTCTGGTTGAACTGTGATTTTAAACAAAAGCCGTCAGCGGCCTCAAATGCCCGCTGTTGATTTAACAGATCCACCAGACAGTGTCCCTTATGGCCCGTCAGACAAACTGTCAACCTGATAAACTCCTCTAGCTTAATACTCTTCAACTTTCCAAGCAACTTTCCCAAAAAATAAAAAAAGAGTGCCCCGTTTCCCTTCGTGCCTGATGACAGCTTTCTGTCATGCAGATGCCAAGCTGTGCCTCCGTTTTGACAGTGACGGATACGTATATCAGTGCTCTCTATAACGCTCCCTGTTTGTCTTGCTGCTGAAGGCGATGGATCGCTCCCATCAAGGGCGTCTGTCAGAATCTGTGGGCTCCAGCGACCAGTGCCGACAGACGGGGAGTAAAACTGTACTTGTGCTGTGCAAGCCTATGAAGGGCTCACAGGCAGCGAATACTGGGTGTCACTTTTTCTGTGCTGTGTTTTTCATTCAGTTGTCTCTGCGCAGCCCAAAGCGGAGTGAGGTTTGAGGCTGAAACGGAGCTGATGCACATGACACACACTCGTACCCGTCTTACACAGAGGGTCTAGAAACGTCCTTCACACAATTAACTGTCAAAGTCCTTTATCAGTACCACAATGAAAAGAAGTGTATTATCGTCATTGAAATTGCATTCTTAATGTCCTGACCGCTTTACTTTGCTCAAATTGTTTGTAGATTAAATTGGGTGCTCTCCAGGTTGCCGTACTTGCAGTTTAATACACTTTTAGATCTTCTTTTTGCGTGTAGCTGTTTCAATCTCGCCGCGTCTTTTTACGGAAGCCTTGTAGTATTCAATGAAATCTTTGCATTTTATAGAAAGTAAAAACAAATGGGTACAGTTGCAAGGTTTGTATCCTGTCTCAGCAATCTTCGCAGAGTCTGATCCATCTGTCAATTGGAGTGAAAGCAGCAAAATGAGATGCACATGTGTAAAGCAAATGCATGGAAATTCTGTCATTATCAGCGGAACATTTCAGTTACACATGCTTGGCTTGCGTGGACGTGATAAGTACATTTTACACACTGCGTTTTAGCAGCAACATATTGTGGCTTATTTTATTTAATTCTTTATAAATCTGTTCTCCCCGTACTCGCTGACTGGAAGGTGGCAGGCTGTCAGAAGGATTTTAATGCATCGAGGCAGCATGTGACAACTCCATTCTCTATGGACCGTGTTCCGTGCTGCGGCTTAAGTCTCTTATTGAATGGAGAATCTTAACCCAGTTTATGTCACCAGCAAATTATGTTTATTCGTTCTAAGAATAAATGCTGAAGAGGCAGCTGCAGTGTGGCATTGGGCTAGAGATTTGATGTGAGTTTCAGTTTTTGTCTTTTTATTTTATAATATATTTTTTTCTGTCATTTACATTATACATATCTAAGAGTTACTTCTCAGATGAGATCTGTTTGACTGTCTGTGGAATAAACAATGCTTCATTTACTTACATATGCTTGCAGTTTGATATTCTCACATTCATATTTTATCTTTATTCATGGAATAATTATTTTTCCTTAACTAAAAATAAAAAGAATTAGGTCAAGATCCACCAGTTTGTAGCCTATTGCATCAAGTGTGTATTATTTGGTACACTTGTGTGCATTCTGACCTCATGATCATATAGGCCCACATGAGTGAAATTGTAGGTCGTTTTGCATGTATATATTTTTGCTGGACTATTCAGTAACTTATTTGCCGTCTTGCTTTGTCTTGTGTTGCACTTGCTTGATGTTTGACTAAGTTAGGTTAGCAAAAGCTTGTCATCAACTTTCCTGTCGTTCTTTGAACTCTCTGAACAGTCCGGGGTGTCTGTCTGATCGGTGCGTGGCCATATTTGAAGTGTACCCTCCCAATGCCTGGGTGGATTTGAAGCAGGATTTCCAGACGGGTCTGTGTGTTGATGGGCTTTACATCGCAGTCTGCTACATGAGGCCACGTCTCCCTCGATGACTCGCTGTGAGTGACTGCTGCCTGCTGCACATGTGAGAGCTGCGCAGCCCTCGCAGTCAATGCGTGCAGGCAGCCTGACAGGGAGCGGAACAATGAGTGCGCTCTGATTGCATGCTTTTTTTAAAGTACCGGTACTAGAAATGTCCAAAACCGTATTGTTTTCAACGTAAGGATACCGCGGTACCTTTCTAGTATCGGTACACTGTGCAACACTACTGCAGGCGTTTGCTTATTTCGTCTCAGGAGGGACAAACTATCGGTTCCAAAACAAGACCAAATTAACTTAATTATTAATTAACTAAAGTTGCTGCTTTTTGTAACATCCTCCAGCCCAAAATGTTGCAGTCACATTAACATTAAAGCTCTGTTCAGGTCACTATTATTAACTTTATATATATATACTTTATTGCAATTGTAAATACCTGGATTCTACTGGCCATGATGCGATATGAATGAATATCCATATAAAACAATTGTATATGTTGCAGTGCATTAACTCTCTCTTTGTGTGTGTCTGGCAGGTTTGGTCTCGGGTCTAGAAATCACATCCACCGGGCCGACGTCCCTAGAGAAGGCCAGCGGTCAGAGTGTGAAGCTGGACTGCCAGTTTACTCTGGCCCCCGAAGATTCTGGACCGCTGGATATTGAATGGAGCTTGCTGTCGTCTGACAACCAGAAAGAGGACAAAGTGGTATGTGTAGACTAACCTTGCAAATGAGCTTACTGTGAAGACGGCATACAGCAGTACAGTGTGCAGTCATCTGATCCGCTCTCATTTTAATGTTCACAGCTTTTTTCAATTCATTATTTAATAGTACAGTGTAATTAGGGCTGTCACCATATCACATTTTTGTTGTGCGATTATTGCACCAACATTTATTGCGGTATGCGATGTTATTGCAATTTTCAGACCATTTTATGCCACTGATAACATAATAATATAATAGCATAGTAATACAAGTAGTACGCTCAAACAAAGAACATTTTATTCGTCAGAATAGTTAGGATATATTTTCTGGAATGGAACTCTAAGTGAATAAAATAAGTGCAAAGGACACGGAGCAGGCGACGCATCGGGCTCGGTGCGATGCGGTACCGCGCCCTGCGTTCCTATCGGCCAAATAGGCGAATGAGCAGTCCGGAGGAACCGACAGTAGTTCAGGTTGAAGGACTGGGTGGATCATCGCACTTTTGTTGGTGGGTATACGGAAATCCTTGACCTTTCCTAGTGGGTATACGGCGTAGACCTGCGTATCACGTAGACTACATCGCTGGCTTCACTTCATCGCGCCGTTGTTCTGTGTATTGACAACAGCCCGTCACTCGCGCACTGTGCTCCTAAATGATTAAAGTTCGCACACATAGCTATTTTTAGGCGCAAATGCGAGTAAAATACTCACTGTAGAGCCCTGTACTCCCTTGTGGTATTTCAATATAACTATACTACACAAGGCTAATGTAATCTGAGCTATGTGTACTTCTATCGAGCTATCGAGCTTTGTGTGCAGTGTTCTCACCAGCACATAGTAGGAGCCTTTTTTATTTTAGGCAGTGTCTGTCCTTTCTGGCGTGGCTCTCTGCATGGACAGGGAGGACTACACAGCTCTACAGGATCCATGCCTGCCCCTGAGGCTTTCACAGCCACAGACTCCGGGTCCCCAGCGTGTCACCCTCTCCCGTGGCTCGCTATTCCCCCACCTGTCACAAAGCCTTCTCATCCCTCTCCTCCTCACTTTTCATTCCCTTATCCTTTAGATTTAGGTTTAGTTTTTTTTGCACTGAATGTTGGAAATGGGTCACACGCTCATCATTGAGACATTCTGTCATCCACCCACTGTCCTCTCTGTCCTCAGCCAACCAATCCCATCATCCAGGTAGACCTCTGTACTCCTGGGCTTGTGCCATTACAGACACCAATTATCTGCTTCCATTTTTTTCTGACCTACTTGGTTTGTGCTCATCATTAACTGGAGTAGAGGAGAAGGAAAGTTTCACATTATATCGTTATTTTCAGCAATGAAAGAATATTAGGTGAATGTTGCTATTATTCATTGTGTCTGCACAATATTCAGTGTGGGATTTCATTTCATTCCCTGTTGGGCGTCTCCAAGTCTAAACGCAGCTGTAGAAATACATAAAGTGATCCCCCGTTCTTTGTATGAAGTTGTTGTAGCCTATTTGGTCCATTTTATTCATGCAATATAGCCAGTACAGGTGCGCGCCACCCGCAAAGCAGACAGTTGCGCCTCTGCCGCTGTTGTGTTTTTTATCTTATTTTATTTTTTACATTCGAATATTAAAAAAAGAAAAAAACATCACTGTCATGAGTCAAGACGTTTGTTTAGGTTTATAGTGTATACGTTTCTTCACAAACTGTGAATGAAGTAGAAGTCGATGAGGCTTAAAAAGCTAAAGAAACGTTACAAAATCTTAGTTCAATCTCATCATGTAATTAGCACTCTGGGCTTGACCACACCATCTGATTTTTGTTTGCGCTCATCATTAACTGGAGTAGAGGAGAAGGATACTGGAGTTTCACATTATACGTTATTTTCATCAATGAAAGAATATTAAGTAAATGTTGCTGTTATTCATTGTGTCAGCACAGTATTCAGTGTGGTTGTATTTTATGGCGGCAAATCACTGTCAAAATTCTAGAGCGCAAATCAGGTTGATGTGCGCGCGTAAGTCAAACATCCGTCTCGCGGGAGATATTTGGTCGCTCGCGGAACGTGAACTTCGTTGCTCGCGAGGCTAATCTCCATAGTGACTGGCTCTGCCCCCTTACTGTCAAAAAGAACAGCGCGTAGAAAACACCTTCGAGCGTGAGCAGAGATTAGCCTCGCAAGCAACGAAGTTCACGTTCAGTGAGCGAGCAAATATCTCCCGCGAGACGGACTTTTTGCTCGCGGATGTTTGATTTACGCCCGCGGATCAACCTGATTTGCGCTCTAGAATTTTGACAGTGATTTGCCGCCATAGTATTCCCTGTTGGGCGTCTCCAAGTCTAAACGCAGCTGTAGAAATATATAAAGTGCTCCCCAATTGTTTCTTTTCTTTATCCATTTATGCCATTTTTTGGTTGAGGTCTATCTGCACACCCGTTAATATTGCCAAGACCTTTGTAGGAATTTAAACCAGTTGGACATCTCTCTCTGAACGTATTTGTTCTCTTTGGCCAAATCAGATTTTGCTCGCTAAATACTCATGCTCACATCCATAGAGTTTTTTACAAATAAGAGTTTGTGCTCCCGGGAAATTCTTTTATAATTAGCGCATATTAATTCCAGGGGTCTGCCTTGTTAGATGTGACAGTGTTAAATGATCTGCGAGGGCCAAAGCTACTAGATCAGACAAGGGGATGAGAATGAAGGCTAAACTTTATAGCCACAGGCTCCCAGAGGAGATCATGGTGAACCTTCGCTAACACTGTTCGAGATGAGCAAATCCAGGCTCCTCTTAAAAGAACAGTCACTATCGTATAATACTCAAAGAACTAGTCTACAGGATCAGTCCACAGATCCGTAACCGGGAACTACATGCCTTGCTTGTGGAGCAAGGGATTAGGTTGCGTGTCTTGAATGAGTAAATAAGCCTCACTTTAACAAATGTATTCATATTTATGAACCACTTAGTTGAGCATCTTTGCATTAATGCGATCAAAAGTAATCTAATCAACATAGAATCTGGTGGGGAATGAGGCCCAATTCATCGGACATATCCCACATATCGGGGTCAGAGTGGTGAAGCACAGCTTATGCACATCACTTTGATTGACTTCAATGAGAGATCCCAAGCATGCCTACAGTAGCAGTCATTAGCCTTTTGGCTCTTACTGCCTGGCCATGATTACCTAATGGTGGGTGTGCCCTGAGTGCTCGCAACCACTGTGGGAACTTGAAAAAAATATTCTGAAAACAACATCTCACTGGTGGAGAGAAGTTTTGATGCATAGCTTTAACTTATATCATACACCCTCTCTTTTGTCCTTCAGCTCTACAACTGAGCCTTTTGTTTACTCAACTTATTGTGACAGAAGATCAGAGAAGATGATTGTGAATGACAATGGCCACATTTGGTTTCAGCCTCGACAGCATCAATGTTGAAGAACGTCTGAAGTGTGCTCAGGCTAGTGATTGGGCTCTAACGTGGGAGAGCACTTTTCGAGGGGAGCCGTTCCTGTGAAAGCAGTGCTTCAAATCCTTTAAGTTAAAAGCCTGATGAACACTGTGCTGCACCTTATGCTCAGCGGGTTGTTTAGAGTACACAGGAATCGCAGCTCTCTGCTTTGCCTCTCAAATGAATTCGTACCTCTTCCTCCTCCCTGCCTGAGCAACCGCGTCACAGGATGACCTGTGAAAGGAAGCCGGGCTAATAGAGGTCGTCTAAGAGTGGCCCGACCACGTGGCAATTGTTTCAGCCCCCGATCGGGGGGGCGGCTCCGCTGCTGCGAGCGCCGCGCAGACTTAGTTTAGTCTGTAGTTAGACAGTTTAGAAATAGACCCGTATTTTCCGCACTCTAAAGCGCACCGGATTATAAGGCGTCAATGAATGACCAGATCTTCAATGAATGACCTACTTTAGAACATTTTTCATATATAGGGCGCACCGAATTATAAGGCGTACTGTCGTTCTTTGAGAAAATTTAAGGCTTTTAAGTGCGCCTTATAGTGCGGAAAATACGGTAAAGGAGCACCTGTCAGCGCCGTCGGATAGGAGCACCATCTGATATAAACTCTATTAGATATAAGCACCATCAGATACAGTGTTTCCCTTTAAGTGTAAAACTTCAGGGGGGGGTGTAGTAGTTGGGAAAATGGTTACAATGGTTACATTTCTTCAGGGGGGCGCCCCCCTATTATAATGGTAAGGGAAACTTCTTTATTGGAATTTTTTTTGATTGGAACACGATTCTCAAGGTTACTGTGCAGTTCAGGTTTATTTCCTCTGCTGGATGTGAGCATGTGTGTAAGCGCTCCCATCTGTGTGCCCGTGAAGTGGTCAAAGCTGACGTGAGAGTCTTGTCTGGCTGAGCTCCGGGCAATTTAATTTCCTTTCCTCCGTGGTCTCATCTTGCATATTGTTGTTATTACAGCTTATGTTTTGATCCCCTGTGAAGTTAGAGGGGTGGATTTCCCATCCCTAGAGAGCCAGGTGGAATTTTAACTAAAATACCTGTTTACGTGGCTAATATGAACAAGATGAACATGGCGCCCAATGTGAGCATCCATGCCTTGAAGCTCCAGAAAGTAGTCTTGCAGTTTGAAAGGGAGCAGCAAGGCAGCTTCTTCAAGACCCACCAGAACATCCCTGACATCGCTTCCCTTTGTTTTGCTTCTCTCGTGCTTCCTTTTCAAGTGATCTGCCTCCTCTGATGGGTTCATTATTCTTCCTCTCCCCCCTGCAATGTTCAGGTTTTCCTCCTTCCCCTCTCTTCCCAGGGGTATTTGCTCTGCGTATGCCTGGCGTTGATCGTGGCACAGAAAAGCCTGTTGATGGCTGTCTCCATGGAAATCTGGAAGAATATATGCCTGTCTTTGAAAGAGAATGGGAACTCTTTTCATTGTTGTCTGCTATTCTTTTCCCCTCTTTCTTCACCCAGCTACAAACCTTGCCTTTATTTCTAGACATTTCCCCTACATTGCCCTGCTGCTTTTGTGCTATTGGATGGACTCACACCTTTTTGAGAGGGTGGTGGTATCTTCACGCTTTCATAATGGGATAAGGACTTTAGGGGGAAGGGGAAGCATAAGGTTTGAGTAAGTTGCCAAGAAATTACTCTTTGTTGACACAGCAGGTGTAGATTCTGCTCCACACTGGTCGCTTTGTCCGGTCAACCTTCACTCTTGTAATGGACAGAAATAGCTGAAGGCCATCGCAGAGATAACAGAGGAGGCTTTCTCTCTTTCCATATATTTTGGATGTTTCAGTGATACGTTTAGAATGCACACAACTGTTCAAGGCTGTTGTTTTTTTAAGTCTTTTGCCCGGAAGGATTTCTTTCCAAATAGATAATGTGATGCACGGCTAAATCTGACTTATGTAAAGCACTTAACTCAAATTCTCTCAAATCCAGGTGATCCTGTATTCCGGCGACAGGTCCTACGAGGACTACTATGAGCCAATGAGGGGCCGGGTCCACTTCAACTCAGCCGACCCAAAGAACGGTGACGCCTCCATTAACCTGACGGGCCTGAAATCGTCGGACTCGGGGACTTACCAGTGTAAAGTCAAGAAGGCTCCCGGGATCCGCAGCAGGAAGATGCTGCTGATCGTCATGGGTGAGTGAAACAAACCAGTGAACACGCTTTAACGGCCCTTTTTTTCTTACTGGGTAAAGTCTCCCTCCACAAAGGAAAGGCACTAAAACACATGGGCTTTATCCTCCGTGGCAATTTTGACGTAATCCCTTCAAGAATGCATGAAAGTGCATGAACTTCGGCTGCAGAGCATTGCCCACTTTAGTGATATCATTCTGTATTCACTCTGTGATTGTCTGAAATAATAATAATCATTTTTATCTGTTTTTGTATTTAGTACTTAGTTTTAGATAGACATTTAGATTTTAGATGCAAAGTTATTAGTTAGTTCTCTTCCATCACAGCTCCCTTTTCAAATGAATTGGATGTTTACAGACATTTTACAATATTAGCTTTATTTCTCAAATGTGAACTACAATAACATAAAAATGAATACACATTACTCCCTTTGAAACTATGAAAGAAATAGATAGTACAGGCAAAAATGTTTGCCAATGATATACAATATTACAAATTGTTCTAATTTTGTGCAAAATAAGCCTGCCTTTTTAAAAAAGTGGACAAACTTCAGAAATGGAGTCTATGCACTGGCTTGTTATTGCACAGGGTGAGATGGGTGACACAGCAGAGTTGTATAAGTTGGATGATTTCCTCCCTAGGCAAACACACGCTCATGCAGCATGCCCTCGCTCATTGGTTAACTGACTAAATGATATCGAAAGTGAATTGCCTCCCGAAACCCGCCTGGCATTTGCATATGGGAAACACAAGCCAAGTGCACCGCACCAGTCTGTGTTGTGGGATAGGCTGCATATTGCGCTCTTATCGGCCTGTTATTATAATAGTTTTCTACGTTCAAAAGAAAGCGCACACTTCAGAAAAAGGTCGCTTGCATTGTTGACAGGATATCATGTGCATCAAAGTTCTTTCCATGAACTCGTCTGTCTGGTTGAGCCGGTTGGTGCAGTGCATTTGGGTTTCTCAGTAGTTCTACTGTGACGCAACAAAGCAGCTCTGTATTACAAGAGATAAATGGCCGCAGATGATCTGACCATTAACTGTGAGTACAGCTGACACAAAAGCCACTGACGAAGCCCTCGGGGAGGCTAGTTTCCATCGAAATTGATCTGACCAGAAGCACCTTAAAAAACAAATCACTGCTGAAGTCATTGCTGATTCACACACACGCTTGTCCTCCCTACAAAAGCTTCACATTCCTCACCAGTGACGCGGGTTAACAACCATGTTGATTTGTTGATTGGGCACTCGCTTCTCATGATTAATTCAAATCTATAAGTAACTAAGAGGCAAAGTTTGTATAGTAGATATTGCTATAAGTCTATATTTACTGTAATATCCTTTGTGAAACATTTTTATGAAATTCAATCCAATTATGCTTTTCATGTTTTTAGGAATACATTTCTAAAATGTCTTCAGCCGAGAGACAGCCGGAGGCTACAGGAGCTGCCGGGCTGCTAGCTATTGACCCCAAGGGGCAGGGGTGTTCTTAGCAAGGAAACATTGACAAGGACAGGGAAGGACATCTTGCTTGCTCTGCATTTTACCTTCAGGTCGATCTTGTCACAAAGTGGATGGTCCCGGGAACAGGGGAGACGTGCATGCATATGTTCGCACAAACATGAGCGCACCACACTTCTTACACCAGGTGTTGCTGCACCTTGTCACGTCTGCGGTGATGCACACGTGCCGACCCCCTGCAGTCTGCGTGGTGTCCAGGTGATGTAGCCCAGCACTGCATGCCAGCAACTCTCAAAGCTGTTTCGGACTAGACCCCCACCTTCACTCTCAACATACAATAATTTTAGCTCTGCCTGCCTGCAGTGAAGGCCACCCTCATCGCAGGATTTTGTTGCCGCCGAGTCGCTTGTGTTTCATTTTATCATTCAACGGTCACACCTTGCGGCTGTGCGCCTCCTGAATGCAACGACGCCGCAATCTAACAATTCCATTCAACTTCCACAAGACAGCCTTGTGCAGCACATAAATCCCAATTCATCGTTCATTTTAAAGAGCCAGGCTCTCTGCTCCTCAAGCCTCCGTCACCTTCCTCTTTGACCCCATCTTTCCAACAAATAAATCTGTTCATCGGGCAGCGGCCCTAATGACGGGAGCTGCGTGTTGGAGCCCACGGACGCGTCAAGCTGACTTTCACCTTTTCAAAAGGTGTCAAAATGTCATAGCTCACTGACATTAACGGTGTGCTGTGTGAGTGGTGCAGCAAAGAGCAGTGAGTTAGGAGCTGCCCAGCCTTGGAGGCCATCACCACCATCTGTCCATCAGCGCCCGCTTCATTTTTGCTCTCCTCAAGCTCTCTCTCCCTCCATCCTGAGCCGCTGTGTGTTTATTAGATTAGTGGTAGCACTCGGTACTGTCTGTCTACTCTTAATCCTTTCGCCTGCTAAGCTTCCTTTTTGCGCTTGACACCTGGTTCATATCTGGTGAGGCCCACTCCAGGGTTTTGTTGTTACAGAACGCATTTTTACCTCAAGAGTATGTCAGCTGTGCGTCAGTGAACGGACTTGGATTGTGGCCTTAGAAACATTTCCTCCCGTCTCCTGGCCTCAGTCACCCGGCTGTCAGCGCGTCAGTGTTTCACTGGAATCGCTCTGCTTTTAATTTGCTCTGTTTGTTTTTGAGTCCTCCCTCTCCCCTCCTGCCAGCACTCTAACTGACGAAGGAGTGATCGCACATGTTTGGCTTTCAGACAGAAACGCTTGGCCTCCATCCTTAACTCTAACCACTACATGCACGTGTGCACTTGTGTGCTGCGGATCCCTTCTTCCTCGTGGTTATCCTGAGTGACAGCTGCTGTGATGACAGCAGCAGTATCAATTACTTTGATTACTGTTCTCATTACACTGATGACTGCCTCTTAAAGCGAGGGAGGGGAGGAAGACACAATAAAAAGAACTTTCCCAGTTCACAATACGAAAAATGGTAGAATTACGGGGTTGGAAGCTTCAGGCGGAGGGGACCGTGTTGTTCCAAGCTGACGCCAGTTGGCCACCTGATTGTGACTGTTGTTTTTCCACCTCTCAAACACTTTCCTCCATTCCCTCGCTCCACAGTGAAGCCGTCCAAGCCCAGGTGCTACGCCGAAGGCCCCATGGAGGAAGGCAAAGACATTGTGCTGAGGTGCATATCCAACGAGGGCACCAACCCCATGCAATACAGTTGGGAGAAGACCAGCGACAGCAAGCTGCTGCCCAGCTCCGCTGTGATGGGTAATGGAGCCTCCGATTAGCACTGTCAAATAATTCGAAATCAGCGTTCCCACACACGTGTCCTCTCTCTGTAACCGCTTCATTGTTGTCTTCTTTGCCCTCACTTGCAGATCCAGTGGGAGGCACCATTAACGTGAGGAACGCATCTGCCAGCGCATCAGGCGCCTACCGCTGCACTGCCACTAACCGGGTTGGCAATGAGGAATGTGTGCTGTATCTCAATGTGACGCCTCGTGAGTGCTTAACGAACTTCCCCTTGGTGCAGTGACCTGCATTCAGCCTGTTTCTCTATTAAACCCGTAGCTCTGCAGTCTGAGGGTCAGCTGGATAATGTTATGTGTACAGTTTGCAGTACTCTATACACATTCACGTATTATATAGAACCCTTTCCTCCAAGTCAGGGTTGTTACCTCTAGAATTGATCCTCTCACTGAGACTACTGTTGTGTATCAAGATAACAAAGATATACATGTTATGGATATTAAGAATAGAGTATTATGAGGTAACCCTGAGAAGCAAGAGTTAAAAGCCATGCTAGCTGCTCGTCCACGTTGTACGTAGGTAAGAATAAATGTTCCTCACGAAACATCAGTTTAACATGCTGCAGCTGCAGTGGTTGATTAACTAGTGACAGTTTGCAGTCAAAATGCAGTTACACCCACGGACGCCTCACTCCAAATTATGATTCAAGGCTGATGGTAGCAAAGGAGTATATGAACCCATATGTATTAAGTCTCTTTAATGAGCTAAATATTAACCACCTTTTGTCTGCAGCTGACAGCTGAAGACGCTGTATGCAATTACCCACATGGTAATGCAAAGTAATTTAAGGGTTTAAATTTTTTTAATTTTCAGAAGTTAAAAGTTTAGTGGTTTCCTCTTAGATTTAAAACTACAGTTGTTTTTGGTACTTAAATCTTTCTATTGCATTTGCTGCATGCAATAACTTTTTTTACTGAAGGTATCACTGAAGTCTAATCAGTAAAGCAAATCGTCAGGAAACACTTGTAAATCAATATAATAAATGATTAAAAAGGAAGCATAGCCTACAGGAACTAGTAGGGGGGGGGGAGTAAAACGTCTGTGCAGGTGGGTCTATAAAGCTAAGGAAGTAATTGACTGGCTGGCTGGTGTGTGAATAATTTATCCCGACACACAGATTCAGATTTGGATTTGATCCGTGTATCACTCGTTTTCAATAACTCCAACCTACATGCAATAACCAGAAAATATTACATTTTAATATCTTTCAGTATTTTGTTTTGCCTTTTTGCTTGCAAAACAAGGAGCTTTTGTCCTTTTTAATTACTGCAATAATCATTGTAGCCCAATGAGATATTTTAACCCGTCAGGCAGTCATTGCCATTCGTTGAGATAAATTACATTTTTTCCTTTTACTTTCAAGATGTGTGCTTATGGGAGTGTTGTACTTTTCCTGTACCGATGCTACATTCATCACTACTGGCACACACGCATAGCAAAGTCTGAGTTGTGTTCAATGTTTCCTCATCAACAAATAAATGATGTTGACGGCATTAAAAAGCTTCACGTTGAGAAGGACGACGTGTTGTTTATCTGCAGACCTAATGATGATCCCATTGCGTTTTGGAAGGTACTATACATCTGATTAAAGTGTGCGAGGAAAAGGGTTCAGGCATTGTAAGCTTCTTGAGTAGAATCCATGGTCCCACACGCTGAGACGGCACTGTCAAACAAACCAGAGCAGCAGCAGCAGCAGCAGCACGGTGCGGCTGGAGTTTCATACACAGGCATGGATACTCAATTTCTCTTCTAGTGGCAGGATTATCTCTTAGGTGACATTGGTAATTCCCCTATTAAAAAGGTAGTAGATGCAATAAATCTGCATCTAAATTGTTGAGTCATAAGCACCGTATGACAGGGTCATAGACAATCACCACTTAGAAAATAATTCAGATTTACATTTAGGTTTCCTTGTTGGATTTACTCACAAAATGAGATTTCCCTTCCTTCCCCTGTGTCCAGCACCCAACACTGGAGGCATCATCGCAGCAGCCATAATTAGCGTGCTTCTGATTCTCCTCATCATCGCCCTCATCCTCTTCTGCTGTTGCCGTGCCCGAAACAGGAAGAAGTACGAGAAGGAAATCTGCAACGAGATAAGGTACGTTCACTAAATGAGGGATCTGCTAACAGATGCACAAAGCTCCTATCTGATGGAATATTGTGTCATTTTTTTATTTAGCTATAAAATGAGAAATGTGTCTTGGGTTAGATAATACTGGATTTAATGTAGGCTTCAACAATGCCATAGGTTGCGTGTGATTATTACTTGCGGCTCGCCATGTAGACCGACACACATCCAGGCTCACACAACAACAAATCTCCAAAAGCCCCAACAACCATGAAAATGATTTTTCTCCATCAGCGTTTTTACCCCTCCTCAAATAAACAGCTGTGGTAATCAGTTTGAAAGCTTTGTTTGCTCTGTGGATCCTGTGTCATATCTGCTGCTGGCTGCCCGCCCTCATCCCCTGCCCTCCCCTCAACATCATACCCCCCATCCAGCCCACAAGCTCTGTACAACCCCTGGGCTTACTATCACTCTGCTACGGTCTGAATCTGTCTAAGACCACAATGTGACACTCGCGCTGGAGGACAAAGAGGATTAGACCACTGGTCCTGTCTCGTATACACAGGCACACATGCAGTGGCTGGAAGGACCACAGCATGCGGCTGCGGATTAAACAAGCTCCAGCCCCTCGGGCCCTCTTTGATTGAGCATTTAACTGGATTATTGCTGCTTATTAGTTGTTAATGTGGTGGCAGAGGGAGTAGAGGGCATAGCTGTATTTGGTTGCTCATCTCAACCTCTACAGGCTATTACTCAGTGTGGCCAGCTCCAATTATTTGTCCCTCCTTTATTGAATCGAGTCATGTTTTTCTCTTGAAATGACTTATGCAGACTCTGCCAGACATTGTAGACTTTGATACCTTTTGTCAGCCAACTTCATTATGATTCATAGCACCTCTGATAATCCACCCCCATATACATAATCTCTTGACATCCAGATAAGCTTGTGAAAGTAAGTGTACAGTCTTATCTTATTCTCTTAATGTGCTGCTGTCTTGTTTCCTCTCAGAGAGGATGTTCCTCCTCCAAAGAGTCGCGTCTCAACGGCGCGCAGCTTCACCGTGGGCAGCCAGCGCTCCTCCCTGGGCTCCATGTCGCCCTCCAACCTGCACGAGTACGCCCTGAAGCCCCAGTACGACAAGATCCCCTCGTCGGAGGAGTTTGAGAGGCCGCCGAACCACACCCCTCTGCCCCCGCCCAATATCGCAAGGATGGCCGGCCCCAACCTCAGCCGCATGGGGGCCATCCCTGTCATGATCCCTGCCCAGAACAGGGAGGGCTCCATCGTCTAGACCAGTCATTTTCAGTGGAGGAGGGTGTGCTGCGTGTGGAGGGAAGGGCAGGGGGGTGCAGGACACGAGCCAGTGAAGATGGAGCCAGGTTAGGCAAACTCCCCTGACTTTTAGCTCCTCGTCATTTACAAACGGGAGTATAACTGCTCCTATGAAGGCCTGGTTCGGCTGCGGTACTGAGAAGAGAAATTGAGTTGTACTGGAATCAATACAGAGCACATTAACTTTTTAGCAAATACAAAAAAACTTTTATGAATTTAACTTCCTGGACTTTCTCACTCAAAAATAAATAGGTGTGGGTAAAAAACAGAATGGTCAATATACAAATTATATTGTAAATAAGCAAATGCATGTTTTTTGTTATAGACTGCAATTGCTGTAGAGACATTGTATGTACAAAACTGTACCCAGGGTGGGCGTGTGTGTGTGAGGCAGGGTGAATATAAGAGAATGTTTTTATGAGGGGGAGTATGGAAGATGTATTGTTCTTCAACGTCTACACTACAGTATGATCATCTGTCAGGTAATTCAGTCTCTGCTCATTTCTAACCTTTTTTTTAATTCCATGAATTTACTTTTTAACTGTTTTTCTTCCAACCTTTTGGACAAAATGGCCTTATTTGGACATTTGGAGATTTTTAAATAGTCGTTCGACTCCGTTGGAAAAATGTCTATTTAGGTCAGCGGGTTATCCGCTGAACCATTTGCTGTTTGAATTTTTCGGGTTTGTGAGGGGGGGGGGGGGGGCTGAAGTAGACGGTATTGGCTGAGGTTCAGACCACCACTTCTTATGATTAGTCGGATTATTGCCTCTTGACCGAGCTTTATAAAAACAAAAAAAGACCGCCATCCCTCCTCTCTGAGGAGGTAGTACAGAGGGAAATAAAGGGGACAGCAAGGTCCACTGAGCAATCCGCTTTGTGCTCGACTATCAACAGGCCCATAACCCCCGTGGCCTCCCGACACACATTAGCAGGACAAGAGCACAGAGTCTTCATCTATCACTGGTAGCATCAGTCAGTACCCCTCCCCCCTCAGCCCGCAGATCTCCAGTATATGTAATCCTCCTCATTTGCAGTTGCATTACAAGGAGCCAATATCTTGATTAACCTTCTCCCTGTGGTCAATATGAAACCCTTCATGTCCTCTGCAGCGTTAATTGGACTTTTCAATGAAGGATGTGAAGCCCGCCGACATGAAGAAAGTGGCCACAAAAGGGGCACGAATGAGAAAAGCCACTGAATGCTGCATTATGCCGCTCTGATTCCACTTTATAACCACTTTGTCTGGGTTCATTGTGTAGTCTGTGCTAGATAGTATAATTATTTGTTCTGTTAGTGTTTGTGCGTTACTCTTAAACCAAGCCTATTCTTCCAATATTAGCAAAACTGTTAGGATGCCCAACATCTCACTGTGTCTGCTACAAAAATAAAAACAACACAAGAACATGTACATTTGGATATTTGGAGCAAAATGTTTGCCCTGCAGCCTTATTCTACGCTTTAATGCAGCCTTACATACTTCCCTCTGCTCACGTCTGCAAAGTCCTCACAGCCGGATACTGTGCCTTGAGTTGTGTCACCTACGCCATTGTGGGCTACGTACTATGCAGTAGCATCATCCCAGATGGCCATCACAGCCCACAGACACCAGAACAATATAATAATCGGTACACAGTGACCCTATCGATTTGCTTTCCTTTGCCTCGGCCACTTCCAATCCTGGATTTCCCGCACCGCATACACACCCCCGCATAGCATGACAAAACCTGATTTTGTATTTCCAAAACATGGTCGTCATTGTTTTTATATTTTACTTTATTCAAGATGAAGTAAATGTGATTTTAACAAAAAGACCCATTACTGATTGTGTCTGTGTGTAAAAATATCCTGTTAAAGTAACCCGGTGTACTCCCGGTGTATGATCTAGAGATGACGTACACATGACGCTCTGCCGTGCTGCGCTTGGCAAGTCTTTCCCTTAATCAGTAGAGGAGGGGCGCCGTGGCTCTAGTTGGTGCAGTGCAAATGCCCCCTTGTATGATTGGAAATGTCTGTCCATATGTGAGTTCACTGTAAGTCTCAGTGTGGCCTCTGTGCTCTAAGGAGAGGTGACACATGTTGGAACATCTGGGCCCCCGCTCTAACTGGCAGTTTTATCGTCTCACCTGTTTTCTAACGCCAAGGAAAGTGAGACCCGGACCTGCAGAGACAAAAAAAAATGACATGAGTTAGTTCTCCTTAGACACTTGTGTGTGTGTGTGTGTGTGTGTGTGTGTGTGTGTGTGTGTGTGTGTGTGTGTGTGTGGGGGGAGGGGACGTGAATTGGACATGAAGGAAGTTTTCTGTCAGGATGGGCCCCTGTATAATTCTAGTTGGACTTTCACCTGCTGACAAACTGCAGAGCTCTCCGGGGGCTGTCCTGTTACCTCTGTGCTCAACACATGAAGTACTAACCATATTAACTGTAGCTTTGAAATCGGCATACTAATATTGTATGAACAGCTCCATTTGAGGTTTTTGCACACTGTGATAACCTCCTTTTTATTTTTTCTGTGTATTTTTTGTGTGCTGTATTTTTTTAAATAATAAAAGTCTGTAAAATCAAAATTCAAAAGCCAGCCCGTTTGTTTTTTTTGGCATAAATATAACTTCTCCCGGTCGTGCATGCTTTCTGTGGACTTGGCTTCGTGCAGCTTTTTGACTAATCCATTTTAATCAGCCAGCAAATGCCACCTTTAATGCCAGGTGAGGTGACTTTCCAACCATTTAATGACCATAATTAATCAATGAAGACAACCGCCGCCTGCCTTCTCCAAATGTTCTCTATTGAGCTTTTGGTTTGCACATGAGACGGTTTGAGAGCTGCCTCAGCTACCACTGCAAAGCCACTCATACTTTCCCCATTCCCCTGCTGCAGCGTTATGACCACAGCCCCACGGCCATTTGTGACAGTATTTGCCCAGTTTATTTTTATTTCAATGGCTGCCAATTCCCCCCTGCAGTTAATGTGGTGAGTAACTACTTTCAACGCACGCCAGCTCTAATCAAAGTTGTACCAATTTAGCTCTGTAATGAAGTATGCTGAATGGAGCGAAGTGCCCTCTTGCTGACTCAGGGGCCTCACCGTGCTCGTGTTGGTGTCGCCCTCTTTACACGCTAACTACATGCTAGTTATCCTGACGTGTGGATGGATGGTTCGCCAATCGCTCCGCTGTGTGCAGGCAGTTGACAGCTAGTCAATAAGACTAAAGCACTTAGTCGCGGTACTAAGCGGGCGTCCATTGCTGTAATTGGGTGTCAGTAATAGATAGGGCCCGGGAGCACTGATCTGTGGCCAGTCGGAGTCCGTCGTGGGTCCTAATCGCTCCCCAGCAGCTCCGCACGTCGCCCGGCTGCACTGCTACCTGCACACTCATAACTGTTCCCACAAATGGACGTAGCGGGACATAACGACACTTTCACGGCCGCGCATTCACAACATTCATCAAAAGGACATTAGTGGCGTGTGCCGCTGGTTGTGCGCAGAATAGATGTATGGACTAGAGGTTGCGCTCATTGAATTAATGCACAATGAGTCATGCATCATCCCCTGGTGTCTTGCAGCCCAGTATCTATTTGTGACTTTTTTTATTATTCTACCATGGATTCACACAGCTGAAGGGAGAGACTGGCGTAGCGCTAAGCACCTGGGGATTTGTGCCTGGCTCCCTCCCTTCTGCCTGGGTAAGGTATTAATTGTTTGCACAGATCAAGGAGGTTGGTATTGCAAAATAAATTAAAAAAAGATTCAGAAAAAGCCCATTGGTTCTCCAGAAGGGTTTCCTTGGCAACGTTATCTGGTAGTACACAGTCTAAGCCGGCTGCTAGTGGAATGATTTATCTTGTAAAGCGCAATTCGCTACCTGCTCACAAAAGAGGCCTCTAAAAGCACGGGTCTCATCAAAGTCGCTCTCCTCCTGCCTGACGTCTGCTGTCACCGGCGTTAAGCTTTCTGCCGTTTTTAGAAACCTCAGTCAAGTTGGGAGAGGCTTGCAGGGGGAATTCTGGGTAGGATAGAGCAGTATGCATATGCACGAAGAGCGAGCTCCATTGGTGCAGCATTGCATTAACATTGAGGCTTGCCGCTTCTTCAGCACTTGGGATGTAAAATGACTTGGATTATGATGTCAATGCAAGCCGCTACATGAGATACTTGACTGAGGAGCTACAGCTGTTTTTTGGACATGGTGCCTCTTGTTTCCGCCCGAGTAGAATTTAGATGGATACAGTGGAACGGTTATAAAACCTTAAATCATATATGTGGGTGTAGAATTCGTCTGTGATTTCGAATCCTTGTGATCCATCCTACTCTAGTGAACATAATATTAATATCCTCCTTGTGGTAGAGTTAGTAAGTATAGACTGCTGCTCTAATTATAACAACATAAACGGTTTGTCTGGGCCCACTCTTAAATTAAAGCTGACAGTCTGAACTTTAAATGCACAGGCAGTGTGCCATGTGAAATGAAAAGGAATGGAAGGAGGAGGCCCAACATTGATGTGTCACCATGCAAACGTTCTTCAACCGCATGTCGCCGTGAACAACCTGCGTGCTGCGGAGCATAGTCCAAACCGCAGCCGATCACCCCACTCTGGTTGATCAGCCCGGGTTTCCTGAGGGGGGGTGTAACCCAGCTGCCCGGCATTTGTCGGTCTTGATTGTTTCCACGTCTGAGAGGAGCAGAGCTCCTGGTGGCCCACCTCTCCCTTCTTCCCGATTGGTGGACACAAAGTCATCTGTTAAGGTCCGAACTCTACGCCCTCTGCATCGCCGCGCCGTTTTGAGGTCACTATTCTTACCCCGACGCCGCTCACAGTTCTATGACTAAAATGTGACTTTTTGATGGATGACCTTCCCCTCTATGCTCTCGGGGAGAAGCGGTGAAGCGACGGTAAATACGCGCTGAGATTAGACTCCAGTCGAAGAACATCATGTCACATATCAAGATCTCCCCGTCCCTGCTGGGACTCTGCGGTGAGCTTCGTGGATCAGTTAGGTGACGCTCATCTGCAGATGTGACATTTTACTGATAAGCGAAAAGTAGAGAGAGAGAGAGCAGCACCTAGCTCTTTACCACGAGGGACGTCCCCCACCCCTCCTTTGGTTTGGGAAATTAACGTCATCGGAGTTGCTCATCAACCTGCTTCCATATGAAAAGAAGAGAATGAAGGAAAGGAAACAAGATGGTTCAGTCCTCCTGGTTTAGTATCCTCTCTGTGGTGTACTGTAGCCACACACACACACACACACACACACACACTGTTCTTTGATCTTTTGTCATCTATCTTCCTTGGCTGAAACCTCTCAAACCAGGATGGAGGTTATACAGTGCAACCCAACTCAGTCGTTTACACTGTGATTTGTACTTCTAATCTGCACCTCTGCTGGACCTTATTATGGCTGATCATCCTCCAATGCCATGTCATCAGAAGGGCACAAAGGAGGCCGGCAATAAAAACGTAGCCTTGGCAAAGGAATGGGGCTCAGTTTCCCCTTTTTTTTCTCCCTCTGATGATTGGGGTCATCTCTATTATTACCTCAGCGATGTCACTGACATATAGTGTGTGTGTGTGTCTCTGGGCGTCTCCCCATGTATGTGTTCATTCGTATTAGTGCTGGTCGTGTGTATCTGTGTGCAGTAAAGTCACCCTTAGTGGCCACATAGAGAGGGCAAAGGTCACGGTGGTGATTTAACAAGATGGGGCAACCCCGACCCCCTCACCATCTCACACTTTTTCCGCCTGGCAATTAGACGGTGTGTTTTCTTCATGCTGGACACGTACCTCAGGCCACCTTCACAGGCTGAAACTCTCCTCTGCAGCTTCCATCTGTCACGGCTGATAAATGCTCTGGACGAACTGCAGAGATTGCCTGTGTTTCAGTGTGTGAGGCGTTCAACATGAAAACTTTATTCAAACATCAAAATATCCTGCTCGTTAAAGAGCATCACACATTCATTTTGCTGTCGAAATATTTCATTTTTTATTAAATGTCTGATGTTTTCACTTAATTGGGTGAAAATTCAAGTGAATGAAAGGAAAGTTAGTGACACATGCAGAGTGGGTTAAGCTGTTAACTTTTCTTAAATCTTCTTAAACTTACTCTCACTCCAACAGTCATCCCTCTTTTGCTTTTTTGAAAAATATGTGCTTGATGTCCTTAACTTTTCAGCAGCCCTTTCACCTAGTTATTCATTGCTTTGAAAAATACCCATACGAATCTTCCATATAGATTTTAATTTCAAGAAAATTCCAGCAAGCATAATTTTACTGAATATAATTTTATTTGAATGGACGGAATAGAATGGATCATGACATGTTGTTGTCTCAGACATAGTGTTTGCATAGTTTAAGCAGCACAGGTGATTGATACATCAGGTGTGACCTTACAGGTCTATTGGGCTCTTTTTACACTATGAGAAGACCAAGTGATGTTACTGTAAGATTTGTTACTGTTTTATCTTGAACTATGTTTCTGCGGATTTAGCTCACTTAAAAAAAATGTTAAAGCCAATAGTGAAACCTAAATAATACAACTTTGCATAAAGGGCCTTTGGTTCGGAAGCAGCTGATCACATCTGCGCTTGTGAAATGTTGAGAAAGCTCTTATGTGGTTTTCTGAGGATGAAAATGATCTTAACAGTATCTCGGACAAGGTTACCTGTTATAATAATTTCTGTGTTTGGCACATCTTGTTCACCTTGGGTGACAAACAAGGTCAAATGTGCTATTAATAGGAAAAAAAAACACTTTTGCCTAAAGTGCCTAATTGCCTAAAAGGAATTAAAAGCAGCATCAAACCGGGTAAATGTAGATACAAAGATAGGATTGAAGGACTGACTAAAGAAAAACACAACAGGCCTCCGGAACGCGATGAAATCTGTCACTGGCTATGGGACCAGTAATCCCAGTTTCACCAGCAATTTATGTAAATGAAGTAAACCGGTTCTTTGCAAGGTTTCGGGATGAAATGTGACTCTTTTATTGTGCTTTTAGCTACAAAAAAAACATGCCTTTTAAACTGCACAATACATCTATTGCCTGGGTCTTGGAATATCTTTTGGCCATAGTTTGTCCGGCTTGACAAACAGAGAGTATCTTAACAAAAACAGGAGCACCACAGAGGTTTAATCTCTCTTTTTATTCTAACTTCGTACTGCTGAATACAAACAGAATCTGACGTCCTGTCCGATCCCCAAGTTGTCCGATGACATTGCCGTACTTGTTCTACTCACCCAAGGAAATGACCATTGATTCTTTTGTCTGCTAGTGTGATAAAAACTTCCTAAAACTAAATGTTATAAAGACCAAATAGCTGCTCATTGATCAGTGACAGTTAAGGCTCAGTAGATACCTTTCCTAACATTTGAATAACTTGTGCTCCACCTGGATAGGAAACTAAACCCCGATGCTGTATTTAAAAGACTCAGCCCAGATTTTTCTAATTGAATAAACTAAGGTCCTTTGTCAGCAGAAACCTTCCTCACGTTATGGAGCAGGAGATCTGTGCTGGGAGGCTGCTTTACTGCAGGTGACACAATAGGATCAATAACATATTAAAGGCTAGCTCAGTGAATGGCCTTACCCCAAACTCCCTTGAGGTTATTATAATAAGAGGGAACCACGGCCAAGTTAAAAACAATTGTTTGTTTACAAGGTCGTCCGTTACACTGTTTTTAATGGACTCAGAAGGTCCTTCAGTGAGCGGCTCCGGAGGCCTCGGTGTCCCACTGAACCACTCCGAGGGTCCTTTATCCCGCCAGCAGTCAGAACACTGTTAAATATGGTTCTTATATTGTAATATCTTTTTTTTATGGTATCCATGTGCCTTCTGGCATTTTATGATTTTTGTTTATTTGTTATAATGTATTGTCATGTCCAACGTCTATTGTGTGTATGAATTTTTTAACCCCAGGCTGAAACTCCGCCATGCACAATACAGAGAGAGGCGTGCACCCATAATATAATGGCAGGGGGAATACTGCTATTTAATTGTCCAGAGAGTATTCTCAGTTTACTCTTTAATATGCATGAAGGTTGCATCTGTTCTTGGTGTGTGTGTGTGTGTGTGTGTGTGTGTGTGTGTGTGTGTGTATATATATAACAAAATGTGAATGTAGTCTTCTTAATTCTATTTTTGTACGTATGTCTTTAGAAGACATGGGATACTAATATCAGAATCAGAATCAGCTTTATTGACCATGTACGTTTACACATACATGGAATTTGTCTCCGGTTACATGTTTTAATATCCTTAAAAGACCTGCACTAATTCTTTAATTAGTTGTCCACTATTATCTCAAGTGCCGACTGATGAAGAATTAAAGGTTTGAATAACCTTTAAAGGAATAAGTCACAATTCACTAATTCCAGCATCTTACAGGTAAAAATATGTTTTGCCTCTCCATGACAGAGAACTGAATATCTTTTGGCGCTGTGTGGATGAAAAAGGGACATTTGAGGACGTCATCCTAAACTTTAGGAAGCTTTAGTTCATCACATTGAAATATTAACTGAGGAATTGTTTGTTGCAGCTCTACTCCAACTTACAACCACCAGAGAATCTGGTGGAGGCTTTCAGCAGACTCAGGGAAAGTACATTGCTGTGACAGTTAAAAGTCAAAGGGACATACTGTCATACAGCATTAAAATAATAATGCTTGTTTTATCAATACCGGAAACGCCTTAATAATAGCTGATACAAATGTATCGATAGCAATTTGTTTTTTAAAATCTGATTTGTTTGTTGTTTACTTATAATATTAGAAAACATGAGAAGAAATGACTGTGTTTGTGAGATTGAAAAACAGTTTTATAAGTTTGCGACTCCTAAAACCTTTTACTCTGACACTTTAAGGCCGGGACACCATAGCACCACAGGGTGCTGACGGAGGTCTGACCCGTGAGACAACCAGACACCAGGTATTTGAATGTCACATAAGGAAATAAAGCCTCTTTTTTGGCCTCTGCTCCGAAAATGGCACACCCATGATGAAAAGTGTAAGACACAAATAAATTGAATTTTGAGATTTGCCTCAAAAAATGTAATATACTGCCCTATAAATCCCATAAAACATTGAAATAAAAGGCTACGACCACATGTACGTGATAGCCCAGTGTGTGGACAGTACACATGTAAAGTTTCATGTTGATAGAGCACGGATAAACTACTCTACAGAAGGCTTCTGTGAAGGCCTCACGTCAGACGAACGGCTGGCTTGTGACACCTCATTTTTTGGTGTCGAGTTCTGATCGGCCGATTCGTGTCATTCCACCGCTCTATCGAGTTGTTTAATCAGCCTGAATATGAAGAAAGTGGTTCGCAAGGCATTCTGGTCTTCCACGGGCTTTTACTTTGAAAAACAGGTAGAGAGTCACATGTCGCTCGAGATTTTTGATTGGCGGAAAAAAACAACATGGCTCACTATCTTGCCCCTCGCCTGCCTGCAAGTGGAATGCGAGACCTCGTTGGAAAACTGCGGATTAAATCCATCATTTCTGTGATAAACGACAAAGGTAAGACACATTTAGGATGTTTTCGCTCCCATGGCTTGTTGGGTTTTGTACTGGAAGTTCGGCGTGGTTTGTCTGAGCAAAATGGTACTTTTATCGCCTTTATCAGCGCGTTCTGCTCGTCTTGTGTGTGAGCTGCAAAGTTGTTGTAGCATAAAGCATTGTAAAAATATGACACTTTTGGTCAGTCAAGTCCAACATTTCTGGACCAATCTGCATGGAATATGTTCTTACTCTCACCCCACTCTCTAAATGTGTATTTCCAGTGGTTTATGGCTTATTGTATCCGGGGCTCTGATGACGGCTGCCCGAGCCTCGCTGTGGGTTAGGGTTCAATATGATGTGTTGCGGTTTGTCTGTCTGAACGGAGATATTTATGATTTCTTTGCAGCGATTGTTTGGTGGTTATTTCGCAATAACCTTGTCAGGCTTTATCTGAGAGAAATATCTTTGGGCAAATTTGCACTATTAGCAAAGTAAAGGGAAAAGTATCCTCATTCACTAAACAGGGTGACAAAATGAGCGGTTGCTTTTCGCAGGAGCGTCACAACCAGATGTGTCGCCGGTTCCTGGTCTACAGCTGCCAGGATGTGCCAATGCACATAATATATAGTATTTTAGCTGTGGTATGTCTTTGTGAAACCTTTTACTTTTGTTTCTTGAAATAATCACAACTCTTGTTGAATGAGCGTTTGTAGGTGAAAACTTCAGAATAAAGGCAATACAATTGTTTCAGATGATGTGATAGGTGCGTTTTACACCCTTGTTTATATGTGTAATCTGGACTCTAATCACAATGACGGGATGGATTATAGAATGATTTGTCTTGCATTGACTCGTAGGTTATAGCCAACCCACTTTTTTTTCCAATTTAAATAAAATGGTAGTTCAGTTTAAATTCAGTTTTTCGAAATGCCAAAAGGTTGCTCATCATTATTATTATTATTATTATTATTATTATTATTTAGGTTTCAAAATTTTTATTCACTCAGTGATTTTAAGATTTACGTATAAATCTGTAGATTTTACAGGGGTTCAGTGTCTTTTCTCTGTAACCCATTTAGTTAAAGCATTGTGATTTAAAAAGACAACAAGCCCTGATTGTGTCAAATAATGAGTGGTTAACCCACGCTGTGACAGCGCTGTGTGAATTACACACATTGGAGAAATCTGAGTGTGTTATGCCAAAGACTCACAAACACAATCAAAACAAAATCGCATACGCTCCATTTCACTAAGTGTGATTTATGCAACGTATTTTGTGACTGATTATTTATAGATTAATGGGCTGATTGATAGAATTAATCAAGCAATGCATCTGTCAGTAATATAATTGGAAGCTTTTGCGTGTGTGTGCATGTTTGTGCACACAAGAGATTAGGAAATAAATGATTTATATTTTTATTTAGCAACACCTTGTTTAACAAAACATATGTGGATTATTTCATTATTGGTTCCGTACAGTAGTATAACTTAACAAATTCATAATATAATCTTATGAAATGTCATTGTATCGTTTGCTATATGAAATACACCTAGTACAGTATATGAACGTAGAGTATCCTGTGATGTAAGTGAAAATAAGTCATAGAAAAGGTTATTTTACCATCTATTAAAAAAAAAAAGTCATGGAAGGTTGGATAAAAGGAAAATTCTTAAGTAGAAAAGGAAAGTCCTAATATGTTTTGTTGGAAATAAATGCCAGAAAAAAGGGTATGACTCATTTATTGCCCAACAGCCCAACATCAGACTTGCCACTAACTAGGAAAGTGGGCAATGACACACCGGTGGGATGGATTTGGACTAACCTGAACCCTCTACCACAGTTGCCACCTACTATACAATGCAATATAATAAATCAAGTCATTAACATTAAGAGTTGCATTGATTGCATTTAGTTGAATGATGTTGCACACAATCAAATCAATCTTGCTGTATGAAATAAAAATTGGATGTTGCACTGGCTAATTATGTTTCATTGAATTTTCATTAATCATTTTAAATCAAATTAAAGTGTTTTAGGAAACACTAATGGCTTGAGTGGAAGAAGATCTCCATAATTCTTAATCTAAGCAGCGGCAGTGGTAAAATGTATTACCGTTATCCACCCACATGGTCCATTACAGTGATCACAAAGCTACAAAGAAATGAGTTCCAGAACACACAGGTGTTCGGTACTGTATGAACTATCAAAAAGCATCGCCAATTCTTCAAAATCAAGTATACCAGGACTATACCTGCAACTTGAAATAAGATCATTCTGCTAGTAACAGCACAGTCACAGTATTTCTACAGCTGGTCATGTGAGAAAAGAAGAAGAAAATTCAAACTGCAAAATAAAGTTGGCTGATGGTTAACATGTAAAGCCAACGATTCCTTAGCAATGCACATTTAACCAAGAAAAAAGTGTGTCGAAATGGTGTTTAAAGTCAGGACAGTATATTATTACGTCATCAAGGTAACTGAAACTAGTCATTACTATTAGCAACACGCAGCAGCCTTTGCGTCGAAAGGAGCCAGTTGAGGTGGTTTGGGCATCTGGTGAGGATGCCCCCTGGGCGCCTCCCTAGGGAGGTGTTTCAGGCACGGCCAGCTGGGAAGAGGCCCCGGGGAAGACCCAGGACTAGGTGGAGAGATTATATCTCTGCACTGGCCTGGGAACGCCTTGGGATCCCCCAGTCAGAGCTGGTAGATGTGGCCCGGGAAAGGGAAGTTTGGGGTCCCCTGCTGGAGCTGTTGCCCCCGCGACCCGACCCCGGATAAGCGGTTGAAGATGGATGGATGGATGGACACGCAGCAGCTGTTCAGCTTCAGCTGCAAGCTTCCTTATTAAAATTGTCCGATCCCAATCTCTACCTTTTACGCACTGCGTGAGGGTTTTGTTCTGTCCCACTTTCGCACCGCTTGTTTAAAGTGTTTAAGGCCTCCCTAGGAAACATTTTGATCCCTTCATGAACCCTTTCCAAAATTGCATGCTGACTTTTCCCAAGGGAATTACCCACAAGTCATTGCAATGTGAAGTAAAAAATGGAATAACCAGTGAAATCATGGAGTCTGAAAGAAGGTAAACAGGGTGGACGGTACATGTGTGTTCTAGACTGTCAAAGGTATACATTTAAACAGGTATATACAAAAAACACAAGAAATCAGACAATATTTGCAAATGTATTCATCAATTTCAAATCACCCTTCATCTTATGAGTAAAAATCATGGAAGACGTAGTATGCAACAAATACCCTCTGTGGGAGAAATTAATTTCCTGTTTAGTATTTAGTTATTTATTCTTAAAAAGTATTGTTTAATTATTTAGGTTGAATTGAATTATTAAGATTTTCTGTTTTTTGTAGTCCATTTAGTTTTTTGTAATATAAGTATACATAGTTTGGGTGAATTGGTCGGTTAATTGGTTGACTGACTAATTAATTGGGTAGTATTCTGAGCACCTGTAGGTTATTTAACGGCATAGCAAGGTATAGGACCAGCATGCACCTGGGTGATGCATCGTTTTTTAGGTGTAGGAAAGGCAGTCAAGTTGTGTTTTTGTGTTTGTTGTCTAGCAAAATGAATATGAAACGGAAGGAAAGGCTGCTTGGACAATCTGCTCGTTTTGCTGTGTAAAGAAACAAACTAGGGTTGCATAAGTGGCCCTTTGACACAATTGTTTATCGATCGGACAAACGGCCCCAACACTCGTAATTATAAATCATATTTTTTGACGTTTTCATGGTGATGTGATATGTTGCAGCTGAAGCGCTGTCTCTTTCATATTTACACAATTCTTAGCCCGTACAAACTCACTCAACCGTGACCTTGGTGACCTCGGCCACCCCGTGAGGGTTTGGGAGTAGTGCGATCGAACGTCAGACGGAGAACAGTCGTTCTTACTATAAATTAACCTGAACCTCATCTGTCTCTCTGTATCGTTAGTAATCAACCCTTATAGTATTTAATGTCTATGATACAGGGATAAATGAGGCTACAGTTAAACCGTCAAACAAGAAACCTTTTCAAGTATATAAGCAAGCAGCTGACTCCTAAAATGACATAATTCTGTGACGTAATTAAGAAGGTTGTGTTTATTTTCCTTCGCCATTGTTGCCTGTCGCTAGGGTGAAATGCATTCTGGGGGATTTGGCTCTAAATCTACTCCAATGCATGCTTAGTAAAACAGACTAGAACAGTTCTTGAGCTGCGATTGGCGTTTCAAAGTCCACGAGAACACGAGTGCAGACAAAGCAGATTGAGAAGCGGCTCATGCTCCTTCTCACAGCAATCAGCGTAATTGCGCCTCCTATCATTCAGGTGGGTCCTTTGTTTAATCAAGAACGGCCAAAGACGTTAACTTAATTTAGCTGTAAGCCAGCTAGCAACAGATGCAACAACTAAAATTGTTTTCATGTAAATTAAGCGTAATGTATCACAGGCGCTGCTGATGGGTGACACATTAACATTAGCTTCAATTACCTCATGTAATGTTTTCGGGATGTGTAAACTCACTGTAAATGGCCTCCGCTGTCACCGTTTGCTGCAGCTGTGGCTCATTTCAGTGGGTGCATCCTTCGAAGGATCCAGCCTTTGCGGTCGATGTAGGCTGAACTCAGCGGCCTCCAAAATGAGACTTTCAAAAGAAAATACAATTCTGGAAAAACTGCAAGTTGTCCTCAATCATTCAGTGAATTAAGAACAAATCTATTTGTACAAATGTTTCTTTTATGAGGCCCAATGTTCTTTTAAGGCAATTCAATTCAAAAATAGATGACTGCTGACTTGACTGCAACAATAACAACATCTGTAAATGAATGTATTGGACATAGATTGTTATTAAAACATGAACGCTATGGAACTGCTCTCATTATGAGGTCATGGAAACGTCTTGTTGGCTTACATACAGTTTATTTGTATAATACTCAATGTTGATGTATTTATTTATGTATTATCTGAAATGATTATTTTGCAATCTATAAAAAAAGAGTATAGAAATGAGAATTTTAAAAGAAAATCTTTTTTTTAATGGTATTTTTCAGTATACTATAGCAGGAGAGTTTGGAGTGTTTCTTTCAAATTTTGAGAGAAGAGATGCATTTGGAAATCCATGGAGATTAAACTGTTGATACATTTCCAAAGGTATACAGACAATTAAATGTTTATTTTGCATACTTTGTTATACATTTAGTTTTCCTCCTTCTTTTACTGTAATATATTATCTCTTATGATACTATCGGGGCACTATGTGCACTTTTGAACTAAATCCAAGCAATGGTCTAAAGATAAAATGCCATTAAGAAATAAACTGAAAATCGGCTGTAGTTCTACGTGAGACGGCTGGCGGCTCGGATGCATCTGTGTGAACGGCCAAGCTAATGAGGTCCTGCTGCATCGGGGCTTCAGGTCGCCATGAGCGTCCCATCGGTGAAAAGGAAACTAAATGAAACTTACAGGATTAATGTGCATCGCTTTCATGCTCTTATCTGGGTCCGAATGAGGAACCTTTAATATGATGTTGGAGAGGCAAGAACATACATAAGAAGTGGAAGTAGTAAAATGCAACAGGTTTTAAGGTTCTCAGTGCTGTTGAATAGAAACGCTGCGGCCTTAATCAGTTGGGAAGAACTAACAGATTCCCCTGTCACAGTGTAGCCGTGTGTTTGTCTTTTGAAGGTCATTGTGTGAGAACGTTAGTCAGGCCCCGAGTATTTTCTCCATCTGCTGCGTGTGTTCATGTTTGTTTGACAAACAGCTTTTGTAATGTATTTCCAGCCTCGTACTATAGCGTGTGTCCTGACCTCTTAAGACACTTCAGAGGGCCTCACATCAAACAACACAGGTACTGTGTGACCAGTGACGTGGGATCAAAAGAATCTATTAAAGTCAATAAAACAAAGCTGTATTTTGAAAAGGGAGCGTACAGCTGCAGTGGGCTTGAACCTGGTGTCAGAAAACATTTACATTAAGGTTCAGGCAAATATACCTCCGGATCTCCTCGTCAGAAGGGAGCTGGTCTCACTCTGACCACTGTGAGCAGACAGTGAAAGATCAGATACATGCGTCTGGAGGATTGTTCAGCATCCACTCTGTGCGCTGATAGAGGGTTTCATATTTGCGGCCAGCTCTTGCTCCTTTGATCTCATCCCTTCCAGGCTTAACATTCGGTGATTCCACTAAGGATGAATAAATGAACTGAGTCCGAGAGGCCCGAGCATCGGCTTGATCCTTCGTAGGTTCGTGTTTATGTGCTTTTTCTCAGGAGAGCAGAATAAACAGGGGGATTTTACCACTAGGAATTGGACGTCCACCCGTTTATAAACAAGAAAGTATTTATAGGAGCCATTCGGTGTGTTTGTTTGGATGTGATTAACTGTTGTCAGCAGAAAGAAAAGTGTTTTTCGAGGGAGATGTATTAGTCATTTTACTGCGTATAATTAAGGGAGTATTGAGGCGATGCACAGTACCTTCTTTAACAAAAGGGATGTTGAATCTCTGTCGCTGTGTCCCAGATAGTTGGTTCCTCTTATTGTGTACAGCCAAACCCGGGGACTAGTCCGCTCCCAGAGACAGCTTTTGTTTACAATAGCGTTGAGGCGTCAGATGTTCTTGTTTGCAGGAATCACGTGAGCAGGGAAAGGTGCACCGTATTTACCAGTCAGATGACTCTCAGAATTAGAATAAATTCCAGCCTCCAGGGTTCAGACAGCTGACAAGCAAGTGGCTTTATTTGCTTCCTGCCTGAGCTCAAACACACACAAACAAGACACCCAGAGGAGTGTCGTGTTTGACGCACTGCTCTTCCAGTTTGACAGCATATGTTCCTTTTACATCCAGGGATGGTGGTCAGAGGAAGTCAACCGGTCAAACTGGTTTTCCTCTCAGGTCAAATGAGATGACTTTGTCACTGTGCACCACCTGCTGTACAGCGTCCATCCAGTGCGACACTGAAATGGCTCCCCTGACACGAGGAGAGAGCTCCGATGCCACCTTGTGTTCAAAGACCTGTTCACATGGGAAAATAAGGTTTTTCACTGTGTAACAGCATCATGGTAGAGTGATTAAGATAACATATTAACAGATTGTTGTTTTCAACACAACTTATTTAACACAAGTAGATTGGCCGTTAAACATGAATTAACCCTTCAAATAAAATAGTAGAGCTGAAATGATTCAATCGGGTGAGACACAATCAGCTACAGCTTTCGCAAAAACATGAAGAATCTGGGTCATTTCAATGATTTTTTCCCCAGTATTTTATGATTGACAATTGAATGCTTAGTTATTATTAACTTGGTCTGTGGGAAAACGTGATGGGCATTTTCCCCTTAACTGTCAGCAATAACAACGAGACAACAAAAGCGAGTGAACATGAGATACAGAATACCCTTATTTTGGAATTAGGAATACTAATTTTGCCGGGCAAAATACTATAGAAAAACCTCATTGGCATTTTTAAACAACCCAAGACTGGTTATATACCACAAAAATGAAATCCCACCAATTTAAAACAATCATGTTTGACGCTGAGATTCTAAAATACTCAAAAACAAGGCATTGCAGAGACAACAACAACCAGTTTTCTGCAGCAATGATTTGAATTCACATCTTTATCTCATAAAGTCGGTTCCTCTGAGGGATTAACACATAAAAGCATTTGCAGTGTAAGAGTCCGCTAATAACTTCTCACCAGTTGTTTAATTGAGCGGTTATCAAGTGAATTGAGAGTTTTTACTTGGGTGTAAGCCATCCTCTGTACTCCGAGGAGTCACCACATCCATCACTTGCTGATCTGCAGAGCTCCAGGGTGCTTTGTTGTGCTTCGTCTCTGTTGTTGTTTTTATGTCTGATGTCAGTGTTGTGTCTGATAAAGAAGTTGCATCCCATTTGTGCTTAAAACCCCATCAGACACCGACTGTCAGACCTCATTAATCTGAAGCCTCAGTCTGTTGGCGCTGTGGATGGTGTCTCTTTTCACAGACTAATGCCTCTATTGCTTCCAGACAGTTACTTCGTCGGATTGTTGATAGCGACTACATCTGGCCGCAGTTTAGGGTAATTATAACCACTCTGGATGAACGATTGGATGCTCAATTTAAGCACCGTTACCTCTAAATAATGAGCATTGCAGGATGTTCCAGTAGTTCTTTCAATCTGTCAGTAGTAGCTTCTCGAAGTGAAATCATATTTTTCTTGCATGGCCGTTTCCTCCTGTTGGTCCGTCTGAGCATCGCCCTCTGCTGCCCCTTTGCCCCGGCAGCATGTGGCAGATGGAGGGAAGAAGCTTAGGTGCACTAAACCTGCAGCGGAGGCTGAAAAGCCATTTTACAACGAAAGAAGGAACATTCAAAAGCGAATCACTCACCGACAATTTAGATCTCCTTTGCCTTAAATTAGGCTTTGCCTTAAAATAGCCGATGGAATAATCCAGTAGCTCTTGTTGGAGGGAGCCCAATGCCTGTGATACAGATGTTGGAGGTGGAAGACAGGTAGACTGTCTCTGAACTGCTGACCGAGGAACGAGACACGGTGAGATGAGCGCTGAAATCATAAGTTGAACAATCAATTATGATTGATGAAAATTACTTGATCGTTGTTTGGTCTGGCGGACCGTTCCCAGTTCCAGCTTCTCAAATGTGAAGATTTGTTTCTTGTCTAGAAAGCATATTTTAATTTTTAAACTGTTCAGTGTTAGTGTCATCGTAACACTAGAGAAAACCTCAGCCGTTTCACTACTTTCTGCTTATTCAACAAAATGAATATTCTATAGAATAATATGTAATGAAACAAATTTTCGATGTACAGTAATATCAGAAAAGTAAATTCAGCCAAACCTTTAAGAACCTTAGACAAGGCTAATTACAACAATAATGAAATTATATTTTTATTATTATAGAAGAGTGGAAATGCCAGCAAATATCCCTATTTGAGGAGATGGAACCATTGCTTGAAAAAATAACATCATATCACCTTCAGTATTGTGGCAAATGTGCAGCACTCTGGCGCCCCCTGGTGGTGCAGAGCCTGAACTACTGCACGCTGCTCTAACAGCACTGCTGCAGCTCTGAATGGGAAGTGACTATTGGTCCCCACAGCAGGAGGCATTTACTTGGCAGGAGAAAAAAATACAGGCAATTCCCAATTCCCACCACTGGCTGATTGGAGCCAACATTTGATGGATGCGTGACCCGGGTGCTTCTGCACTTAACATCAATCAGAGAAGGGTGCATGAATGCTGCGGTTATTCAGTGTAATGGGAATGTCAATAACTCTTGTATCCTCTGATGAATACACAAGTACTGTCCCATGACTCACCAGTGAAGGCTGCTGATGTTTAAAGCACTTAATGAACCAAACACAAGCACTCCCTTGTCCAAGTAGCTGATGGCATGATGCTTCCGCAGCTTTAAACGTTACCAAGCTATTCCTAGTAGGTCCAGCAGAGCTGTTAAAAATGAAACGAGGGATATTTAACACACTTACGATGCAAATAAGAGTGGTACAAAAGGTAGTTTATCCTCATCAGGGGTCAAATGCACAGAGTCATCAACATTTATTGACCTCGGTAGGAATAAAGGTCCCATAGACAGGATTAGTACACATTTTTTAATAACATGGCACAATTTACATAACACAAGTTTAAATGAGGAGCATGCTGAAGATTCAGTCGCTTCATTTTTTCCCATTTTTGTACATGATCTAGAAAGACTTCACCTTTTTTCCCTGTACATGGTTAACAGCAAAACGAAAAAAAAGAATCTCATTTAACAATCTTTTTGCAGTACGCATCGACTAACCACTATGGCTCCGGTGGACATTTTAATGTGGGATTAAAAAACACTGCACAACATATCACTGAGTTTGAAGCGCACAACTAAACCGTCAGTGAACTACTAAAATAGATCTCTGCTCATAAGAAACAAACTGTCCATAGTTTAAACTTGCTTTTTTGTCTTTTGATTTTGTAGGGACAACAACTCAGGAAAGCACTTTAATACACTAGTTGACCAACGGAACATATTTCCAAAACATGTACTTTACACTCCTTCAGTGGGGCAAATGTGCTGTCAGGGTGTTAAATGTGCTGCATTCTCCCCAGAACAAGGCGGGTCGTAACTGAGGGAAGGAAGAGTGGAGAAAAGAATAGTTGACATTGTGCTGCTGTCTTGGGCATTGAAAATCTTTCATATACAATACCTCCTTCAAGTGTGTTTTTTGGATTGTCAGTACAATTAATCATATTTGAGAGAGAATACCTCAAGACATTACATCTCTTTATTTAATCCAAATTTCGACCTACAACATCTGCATGGATCGGTTGAAGCTTGTATCTGAGTTGTGGAGAGAATACAGCTTTCAGAAAGGGAGCCGAGACATTTGTTGCATAGTTGAACATGGGGTCCTCTGGTACAATGCTAATCAGCTGCGTCAACTGAAGAAACAGAAAGGAAATAGCAAAAAGCACATTCTGAATCACTGCTGTAATACTCCTCTATTTACATGTGTTCAAAGTAAAGCTTTCAAAACATCCGTTTGCATATTTGTACCATGATTTTTAGTCCACACAGAGTTAGCACAGCGGCTGTACACATTATCTACACACTCTGCTGTCTGTCAGTGATAAAGTACCTGTACATTCCAAAACTGCTCATTCTCACTTTTGTCACTTTGCCAAACAGGAGAAAGAATGCACACAAAAAGCTGCAGCAAACCGGAAGGAAAATCCTTTAAAATCTTTTTTTTGTTTTTTTGTTCCACGGTTATTGTCTCTTTGTAGTTTTTTACAAAAACAATTCAGGGTATTTCTCTGCCCACATAAGTTATTCACAGCTATGTTACAGTCTTGCTTTGCCCAAAGCTAAGTGCTCGGTGTGAGTTCAGTGTTGGTGAGGCTCACCGCGCCTCGATGTCTTTGTGAGCCGGTCTGTCTCTGATATCTGTGGCCAGGGGAGTAGTCCGTCTGGGGGAGCCCGGCCGGGCACCCAGCGTGGGGATGAGAGGGGGCGGGGCACTCAGGGATGCGGTGGGTGGTGTTTTGTTCAGCATACCATTCTGGTGAGCGGCTGCGGCGGCTGCGGCGGCGGCGGCCGCCGCCGAGGGGCTCACCCTGGAGTAGTGCATGCCTGGGAGTCCAGGGGCCATGAGGCCCGGGGGCGGGTGTGGCAGGTGTCCGTCAAGGGCAGGGTGGTGCATTGCCGGGTGGAGGCGCCCGTGCTCGTAGTCCTCTCTGAGCATGTTGAGTCGCTCGCGCTCCTCCATATGGGCGCGCTCCTGCTCCCTCCTCTGCTCCAGGGCCAGAGGGTGGATGTGGTCGCGATTGAAGTCGTGGGGCTCGCGGTCCCTGTAGGAGCGCTCTGCCTCGTACAGGCGCGGCGCCGTCAGCCGGTGCAGAGGGTCATTCCTCAGCAACAGGTCCCTGGCCAAAGGGTCCCGTCTGTGAATGTCCAGGCCCCTGTAGGGGTCCCTCATTGGGTCCCAGTGGAAGGCGGGGTAAGGGAACCGGTCAGCCCCGGGGATGGGGCTGATGCCCATGAAGGGCGCCACCATTCGAGTTCTCTCCAGACCGCTGATGCTGTTCATGGGGTGAACGCCAGCCATGCTCATAGGCATAGGCATGGAGGAGGGGGGGTGGAGGTTCGGCGTGGAGGGTGCCTGTGTGGGGTGCTCACTAGCCCTCTCTGTGGCTCCTTCCTGCTCCTCCTTCCGCTCTTCCTTCACCTTCACCTCGCTGTTCTTCTTCTGGTGCTCGTATTGAAGCTCTCCCTTTTTCTCCGGGATGTCCCTGCTCAGCCCGCCGTTGGGACGTTCGAGGCTGGTCTGACGGATGTAGGGCGAGGGCGTCCCCCTGTTGGACAATTTGTCCTCTGACACTCGGCCGTCGTGGATGACGGGTGCGTCCTTATCGCTGTGCTGGTTGTCTTTGAGCTTGTGGTCATCCGTGCCGTTGTCTTTCCAGGAGTCTGAGTGCTCCCTCTCCCTGTCTTTGGCCTTCTCCTTGTCCCTCTGAGGCTCTCCAGAAGCCGGGAGCAGGTGGTTCCTGTGGTGCTCAGGAGGCCGGGTGTGTCCCAGGAGGCTGATGGGGTTGACAGGGACTGGGGACGGATGGCTCGAATGGCGCTTTTCTACAGAGTCCCTATAAGCACAAGAAAGTCCTTCCATCAGTATCAGTACATCAGTCCTCATTGCATTTTTATTCATAATTAAAAAGACATTATTATCATTTGTTTTTTCTTTTATTTCTTTATGCTCTCAGTGTGAGCAAACGGGTCTCAGGCTAGAGAAGTCACCCACCTGTCTTTGTCGTCTTTACTGACCAACGAGTCCCGTTTGTCGGAGTCTCGGTCCCGCTCGTGCGAGCTGGCGGAGGCGCTCCGCTCAGAGTCTCCGGGCTTCAGCCAGGGTGGCGGTGTGGGGAAGGAGGGCGGCGTGCGGTGCAGGCGGTTCCACGGCTCCTGGTGGCCGCTGTTGCTGCCGAAGTGCTGCTGTGCGTTGGGGCCGTCTTTGTGGCCGAACATTGCGTTGGCCGCTGTTAGGGATTCAACACGTGGAAAAACACGGCAGGACGCAAGTTAAATGCGTATCTCAACAATTTGTATATTCTGCTGGTGAATGGAGCATTAGCAGCAATAACTCTTAAATAAACTTAAATTGCTGGGAAAAAACAAACAAACATTACAGCAATAGAAACCTTGAAAGGAGAAATTGTTTGGCAGTGATTGCTTGGTAACCATGGTAACCAGCAACATCCTGTGTGAGTTTAAAACTCACTTAGTGCTGGATTGCCCAGGCCCCCGAAGGCCGATGAACTGAGGGTTCCCAGTCCGCCAAACGATGCAGGTCTACCAAAAGGTTCTGGAGGGAGACACCACATGTTACCATGAATCCAATCACATCTATTTCACATCGAGACTGACAAGAAGTGAATTTAAGGGTACCTAAGTGAGATGCTTGGGCGAGGAAGTTTCCGGGATGGTGGGGTGGATGACCGAAAGGACCTGCTGATGGGTGTGTGGGACCTGAGGAGGGAGAGAAACGTCACTCAACTGCGTTGGGATGGATGGTGTGACACACACACACACACACACACATAGACACATAGACACACACACACACACACATAGAGACAAGTCCACTTCTTTACTTGTATCAAAATCAACTAGAGCCTGTAGTTTGGAGACAGTTTAAATATGTTGTCAACATGACAGTTTGTCCACTAGATGGCACTAACGAGGTGGTTCTTTAACTGTAACACGTCCAGTTCAGTACATTTGTCAATATGTTGCGATCCATAATCAGATTTTAGCTGGTGTACACGGCCTTGCAGCCTGTTGCATCATTGAGTTTCTACACTCAGACGCTGCTAAGCTACAGCAGGTGACACCTGAAAGAAGAGATGAGGTACCCAAACAAAGTTTTTCCTCTCATATGAAATTTAAGGTGGGAGTTATTGTTCTTTACTGTACTATTAGGGACGATGCACTGCGATGATGAAAGATAGCATGTGTCACCACAATGCAAGAGGTGGTTGTTGTTGTTGAGATAAAAAATATTTCTGTATTCAGTTAATAAAAAAAGAGACACACTACATTGAAATCCCTCCTGATCTTTATTCTTTCCATGTTGTAGACAAATGGTTTATGGCTGTCTCTGCTTAACTCTGTAACATAAACAATGGACAGAGATGATCGACGGCTGCTGTGTATCACAGGGTACCGTTATTAATCATCGATCAAACTTCCGCAGATCAGACACACACTCACCTGCGGCGGAGAAGAGCGTGGCGGGCCGCGCCAAGTCGTTGGGGTGATGGATCGCACCGAAGAGGCTCGGGCCCGGAGGTCGACTCAGAAAGTCCGGCTTCAGGCCAAAGTCTAACTTGTGAGGGTCGACCTGCATCTGCTGCTAGAAGGCGGCAGATCGAATGAGGAAAACACATGTAAAACCCCTTTACATGACAAAGGTTGGTGACAGTCATTTATTAACTTAGTTAACACACTGTGAAATCACCCAACCGTACATTTGATTCAAACACCAATGTTTGCTCCTCTTTCTCTTGTCTTTTTTTAGTGAATGACAAACAATCATAAAAGGACAGGTGTTCTCCTCACACTGTTTAGCACTAGCTTCAGCTCAGAGCAGAAGGAGTAATCAGATGAGTCCTCACCTTCACTTTCTGTTGGTGGTGGTAAATCTGCCAGGCGATGTGGACGTGCATGGCGCACCACTTCCCTGGTTTCTATGGATACAAGACAAAAACTCTCAGTAAAATGAGGACATTACTGCTACTAATTCACATAGTAAATGGGTAATTGTGTGGAAAAGTGTGGCCAATTTTTAAATATATTCAGTTGTCAATGTGTCTTGTTCAAGGAGCCATATTTAATGGATCTAAGGCTACAGTGGCAATTATAATTTATGCAACACAACAATGATATGAAGAAAGGATACCAATCTGATAGATTTACAGTCACTAGAAGATGACTGATAGCTTTGCTTCATGTCTACATGTAAGCAAAAGCTATCAATAGCATTTTCACATTCACGCTTTGTTGTAGCATAGACCATTAGCAGAACCCTTCAAGGGTGTGTGTGTGTGTGTGTGTGTGTGTGTGTGTGTGTGTGTGTGTGTGTGTGTGTGTGTGTGTGTGTGTGTGTGTGTGTGTGTGTGTGTGTGTGTGTGTGTGTGTGTGTGTCAGGATGCTGGAGCCTGAAACACTGCAGGCGATTAGCACTCACCCTGAGAACGGGCCGAAATGGATCCGTTAGCTACAGGAGGGAATGAAAGGGGGTTGAGTTATTTTACTGTCGATCAAATCGCCTCTAATTAGTCTCAGTGTGTGGCATTCATTATAAACCAAATTAAAATGTTAGAATTTCCCTTTTTAATGAAGCATTTCACAAGTAATTAAAACATTGGTATTCTTGCGTGACCTTGTGCATATAAATAAATGAACAGACGAACAGGGCAGTACGAGCTATCCATAAAGCATATGAAGTCCTTTAAAATGACATCATTGGTGTTGAAAGCCTTCATTTGATACCTCAAATACTTATGCAACACATCCCGAGGATCTAAAGGTCATCCCTACTTTGCAAATTGTGTGTGTGTGTGTGTGTGCGTGCGCTCTTACCCTGGGGTCCTTCTGTAAGAATGTGTGTGGGATGCCTCCTTGCCTTGTTGTTCCATCAAGTGGGTTAGAGGTCTAGAGAGCACAGATGGAAAACAAGAACTTCTGTAAATAACTCCTGGATTGAGTTTATTTGTGTGTGAGGGAGAGAGAAGATGGGTGCGTGGGGAGTGGGGGGCCTGTGTGTCTCACCTTGGGCTGGAAGGCGCCCTGCAGCGAGCCGAAGGGCCCGGTCGGGGGGATGACGGGCGGGAGGCCAGACATGGCCGGTGGGTAGGAGTGAAACAGCTGAGGGAGAGAAGAGGGAGATTGGTCCATTAGGGGACAGCAGTGATGTGACACTGGCCGATGGATTTACAAAACTGCTTGGATGTAGAAAGATGCAAATGATTGTACTCATGTTTCATTTTTTTTTTAATATCTCCCTGCTCATTCTTGGTGGATTTAAATATGGAGAAAAAGGCAACTTTAATGTGAAAAATAGAACATTGTAATGCAAGCAAAACTCCTCGTATACCAAACGTGCTCAAGGCTTCCATGAAACTATCCTGTGGAGAAACCAGTGGTGATTAACCACTCACTCACGGTAAGTTTTCTTGTCAATAAATTAACATTTAGTGGATGTAGAGAATGTTTTTCATGTCTCTGAACTTGCATCGCTTTAATCATGGATGCTGCAACAGAATTATTTAAACTCTGGTTGCCGGGATGAGTTATTATTAGAAGTGCTCGGGGAGATGCTGTGAGGTTTTAAAATGCAATTTGTTTCTCTTTGTGCGTAACGTTTTAAGATGTCAGTATGTTATAGAGCGAGGAAATGGCTTCAGGGTATTTGCTGCTATCAAAATAACACCGAGGAAATACTAAAAATCTGAAAGGAAACACTTGAAGCAAACAAAGTAACAACACTCCACTACATCTATTTGGCCCGGGGTTGGTCGGAATAAAAATGTGTGATTTCTTTCGGATATTAAAATCTTCAAGGCTGAGGTTGAAGAGAAAGTAAACCTGTGAAGGCGCACGGCGTGTGTACGGACGCCGAGCAAACATGGTAGAAGAGTGGGGTCCATTGTTTCCAATAAGTTAACTCTAGTGAGTGATGCGTAAGCCACTGCTGAAACCAGGCCAAACTAAAATATAATATTTGTCCGTATGTAGCCACTGTCTCTCTCTGCTAATGTCTGTGCCAATTTTTATAGCGTTAAAGCCCGTGCTCCGAGATCGAGGAATCCAGAACGCCTTCATTAAGCGCAACATATGTCGGGGCCGAAGGGTGAGACGCTTACGGCTTGGATGCTTACAGTGTTCTTTAAGAGGTCTTGATGAAAAGCGCACATACACATGGGGTGAAATGGCATAGAGGGCAAGCAGCACTGTAAGCAGTAGGGAAACTCACGCTGTGTCTGTAGAAGGGGTCCACTTTAGTTGGGTATTTTTCAAACTGTAGGAGAGATAAAAACGCGCTTAAGCACAACGCTGCAGAGAAAACACGATAACACTATAACAGTGTTGACCTTTCATTCACTTCAGGTCAACACAAAATGCATCACATTGTATTTTAGGACTAAAAACATGCTTACAGATTGATATTATGATTCAAGATCTAAAATGCCAACTGACATACAAAGTTTTACAGCTTTTCCAAACAAATCCGTCTTCATCCTGCCCTTTTCCTGATCACGTGACGACCTTTTTGTGGGTTCGGTGTGTCATTTGGTCTCCCTTTAGTGGTGCAGCAAAGTCTCAGGGCGAACATTTCCCCAGTCAAGACTAAACACTGCCGCCATAAAGAGCCGTTTTATGGCCTCATTAGCTGTCAGAGGCCTCGCTATGCTGCCTTTGAGGTATCATCAGAGCCAAGGGAACCCTCGGTGGGCCAGACTGTTACGAATGTGTGCGTTTTAGGTCTAGCCGCCATTGCCTGTGGTCTTTCCCAACATGCAGTGGGGCTCTTAATGAAAAACATTTGCCAGTAATGAAAACCCCCAAACAGAACCAAAATGATATCATTAAATTCAGAATGAATTAAGTGTACTATGCTCTGAAAGCTGGCTCAGAGGTTAACATTCTTCAGGCAAGTTATTGCCAATTTAGAAAATAGCGGTGACTCAAGTCTGGAGTGGTAGAGAACGCCAGAGAAAACACTAGAAAGGCTTTCTGGGAAACTGACACACATGGTCATCGTCCAAAGGCAGCCACAGGAACCCTCAGGCTGAAGCGTGCCGCTCACACACATGCCCAACTGTGTCAAATCTTCACTCTCAAAACCACGAGGTTCAGCTCCCCACACGTACACATGGAGAACTTTTTAAAAGCTGACATGTGAAAACATTTGACCCTCTCCAGCCCCTCCAGCCCAAAACGGGTGTGTTCTACTTATCCTCACATTTCTGGCAGGGGTACGCACCATGGGCGGTGCCGGGGTGGGCATGATGGCGTGGGGGAAGGGCGTAAAGGTGTGCTGATGGGTGTGCTGGTGGGTGTGTTGGTGCTGATGCTGGTGCTGGTGCTGATGCTGATGCTGGTGCTGGTGGAACTCTGTGCGCAGGTAGGGCGGGGGGCCCAGCGAGGCGCCACGGTCGGCGTTTTGGGAGGCCAGGAAACGAGTGTTGAGCTCCTGGCGCAAAAGGTCTTGCTCTGGAGAAGGAGGGAGAGAGAGAGAGAGAGAGAGAGGGAGAGGGCGGTTTAAGTTAACCAATGAAACAAAAACTCTTAATATCACTTCTTATGTAAGAGGTCTATGTAAGAGGGCAGCTGGTTCCCCTCAGAGAAGCATTGGAAGGCCCCAATGTAAGGGGCTAAACCTGTCGTCTCCAATGGAAGCCATGTCAAAGTTCTCAATAAAGGGAACCTTGACTTGATTATCAGCATCTCATTGTAAATGTAAGCGAGGCGAAGTGTAACTGCTGAAAATGTCCAATGCTGTGATTTGATAGACTACATGTCCTCGGAGACGACAACATCTGTTGTTCTAATAACCTCTGAGAGAGAGAGAGAGAGAGAGGATTTCATGTGATTGCTGGCTTTTCTTCTAAATTCAACAAAACGTGCCTGGAGAGCTTAATTCTGCTCCAGGGTAACCTTATCCGTCCTTTTCCACAGTGACTTACTACAATATGTTCTCTGCATTTATTTGAAGATTTATTGGGCTGGGGGTTCGGGTGGAATTTTTCTCTTTATAAAAATGTCATTAGTTTGTTTTGAACGAAATCCAGCGTGCTCTGTTCCGTATTGACCAAATTGATTTTCTTCGCAGATGAATGCTGTCCACGGTCGAAGTGGAAGTTCTAGGAACATTGCTAGAGGTGAGCGCACCCCCCTCACTGACCCTGACATTTAGCTTGTGGAAATGCGCACGGGGTCTGTAACGGTAGTGTGGCCTGAGCTGCTGGTGGGTATCAGTGGCGTGTAGAGAGTCCATCAATCACAGCATGACTGAAAGAGTGTGAGCCGTCCTCACGGCCACAGACCGCTGGCATGGAGAACATTTGGACTATCTTGGACTTGGTTGCTTATTTCTTTAAATAATTACCAGGGTGACATCCTGTGGCCCCGCATCTCAAATGCTGCCGAAATGTGCTGCTCTCATATGTCCCCACCGTCCCGGCAAACGGATGCAAACACATGGCTAAAATAAGAGTCTGCTGTGTGTTCTTTATTGCCAGCTGCGTGTGCAATCCCCCGCCACATCGCTTGGGGGCAATGTGGGGATGTGTTGTTTACCTGAGTAGGCGCTCCCAGCAGCAGGATGTCCGGGTACTGGCAGGGCGTTAGACGTAAGTGGTGGTGGTGGAGGCAAGGCCGCTGGAGGAGCGAACATATTGGGGTGATGTGGGTGCGGCGAGGACTGCAAGGCAGGGGGGAAGCTGTGGGGGGTGCTCTGGTTAGCCGCCAAGGGCAGCGGGAAGGCGGGGGCTGCTGCCGCTGGAGGAGGTGGGTGGTGGGGAGGGTGCAAAGAGGGAGCAGGGGGCCCGTGGGGCTTCGAGCCCGGGGTGCTGCTCCTGCTGCTGTAAAGAGAAAGATGAGAAGGAGCCGGGTCAAGTCAGGTGTGATCAGTCAAAATGAACACTTGTTCCTCTGCATCCCCTCGTCTCCATCTGCTACGACGCTCAATTCCCCGCACAGTGTTTTCACACTTCGACTGTCACCCATTTACAAACGCCTCCCTCCCTCTCCCTTGTGCTTCACAGTATCCGGGGCAAATATGATCCGCGAAAACACCACGTTCACAACACCCTTCGGATGCAAATAAACCACCGCTGGCAAGCATAACAGAATGTGCATGTCTTTGAACGGTTCCTCCAGAGCCAGGTAGGAAACACGTGCATCGGAAATGGGATGAGAGTGAGGGAGGACGTGTGTGCATGTGTAAGCAAACAGTCTTTTGTGGTGTGTGTTTTTCCCTGGGGGCAGCCACACTGCTCGCGTTTCCACAGGTCTGCGCGCCAAAGCCTAAAAGCTCCTTTGCAGTGGCCGCTCTCCGCTGTGGGCCCCCGGCCGTGATTATTCACACTGGGTGCCAGGCCCTGTTGGCAGCCTGGCAGGCCAGAGCCAAGTCTTCAGAGTCTGCAAGGCAGAGCTGCTGTTGGGACTGAGTGGATTCTGAAGCAGCAATCCTGGAGTCTTAACTGAATGGGGAGGACTTCATCGGGCCTCTCAACAGGCTGACAACAGCTCTTCTGTTGTTCTTTCTAATAATAATAATAACAATAATAATAGTGATCATGGATTATTTTTAACATGTGCCATACCACTGAGGATTCTTTGAAACTATTAGCAAAGTGTTTATTTCACGAATATCACCTCTTGTAGCCCACTTCTCATGCGGATGTCGAGGGGGGGGGGGCAGAGTGGGTGGTGGATAAATCGGCGGTACTCAGGGTGTAATACGGCCCTTTTATTCCACTGTTAACAATCAGTGCTACGGTTTGGCTGAGAACTCAAGCTCTCCTTGATATCAGCTTACAGACCGATCGGGCATCATGCGGACTTTCAGCTCACCAGATATTTTAGTATTTATGGGAATATGGAGGCGCAGCACATGAGGACATGAGAGACGTGAGGGTTGAGCCGATGTGTTATTAGCCTCACCTGTGACCGTTGAGACTGAGGCCGTTGTAGGCGGAAAGGGGCCGGGGGTGGCAGCGTGATGGGGGCCCGTGGGGCCCGGCCTGGCTGGGGTGCTGCTGGTGAGGGTGATGTGTGGGGGGGGCAGGCGACGGCGGGTTTGGGTGGAGGCTGGGCGTCGGCGGAGGCCTGAGGTGCGACTGCGGTTCGGGCTGGTGCTGTGGCCGGGGAGGGGGGGCGGTGAGGGCTCTTGGCCCTGGGCGAGCGGCAGGGCTGCGGGCGTCCGAGGCCTAGGGAGAGCCTCTGAGCGGGGGGGCAGGTTTGCGGAGGCCAGAACCTGGGTAGGACCGTTTCTCTGGGTCCGTTTTGGCAACGGGGGCCGGGGGACGGACGGATGGTGGTGAGCTTGGGGGGGCAGAGGCGGCCTGTGGGGGCTGGATGCGGGGGATTGGGGGTCCCTGCAGGTCTCCTGGCTCCTCTCCTGACTGCGCTCTAGGCCCGACACCTGGAGGAGGCCTGGCCCGTGAGGCTCCTGGCTGCCATTGGTGGAGAGCACATGGATGCCAAAATCTGGAACTGGGTACAACAGAAAGAGAAAAACGTCACTTTCAAAGCTGGTGCTCCGTTCAAACGTGCAATTTTACTGGATTAGAAGCTTCTGACATCCAACAGCATTGTGAGCAAACACCAAGCAGAGATGCTCAGTTCTGTGTGCATCCCCAGCTCTCACATAGGTTGTGTGTGTGGTTATAACTGCTATCTCTACTGCAGTGCTTAGTGTTTGAGCTGACAAAGTGACACACATCTTATCCTACTGACACACCCTTCTGGGGGTTGCAGCTGTGCCAGCCCAAGCGCCAATTCCTGAGTCCTTTCATGCAGCCTTTAACATCGTCCCTGGGGACAAATTACACAGCTGAAATCTGTGTTTCTTGTTCAGGCTGAATCAGTTTTTATCGTACATTTTATCGTTTTTTTTTTCTCCTCGCTGGATGAAAAGCTTCAATTTGCTGGACAAATTAAATGTATTCTGGTCCAATTTGTTTGTAAGGGATTTCAGCACATACCTGCTACCGACTGGAACAGCTGTGGTCTATTGCAGTGGTCCCCAACCACGGGGCCGCACCACAGAAAGCTTATATATATTTTTTTCAGAAATTTTGAAAATTGACCGGATTTTCTCCTAATTATGTGCGCTCGTCCCTCTGACAGATTCCCCACGCGTCACCAGGCGTTTTCCTTCACGTTTACAATTGGTCTCTCACCGTGCACGGCAGTTTCGCCCACCAGCGAACACAGAGCGCGCGACTACTACACCCCCCCCCCCATCGGACCTTCTCGACCGGTCCGCAAAATATTGTCTGACATGAAAACGGTCCGTGAGGTAAAAAAGGTTGGGGGCCACTGGTCTATTGGGTTTAGAAGCAGACTGACTCGTTCATCCTGCATGTAGGTTCACAAGGACCTTTGCATAGTAGCAGATACTTCATAACCGACTTTCTTCTTAGCACAAGAACTCACTTTATCTGAACAAAACCTACACAGAAATTCTAAAATAATATTCATCTATTGTAACACTGGGGACAAAAGGCTTGAGAGTGATGGCTGCTATATGATGTTGCACGGCGAGGTGCATTTATCTTATTGTCTGACAAGGGGAAGATTCATTTTATGGTCTTTTGGTAAATAGCAAAAACAGCAATTATTTACCATTAGAGGCCCCGTTAGGAACAAACTGTGAACGAATCCACCGAATGAATAATAACAACGAAAAAAATGTTGAAGTCGCACGGAACAATAGCTAATACGCTCCATCCAGGGTCTTTCTCCACAGGGACCTTCGCCTACAGAACAAAGTGCTCAGACATCAGCAGTCGGCTTGGCTGCTCCAGAGGGAAAGAGGCTCATAGGGGATGACGGTGCATACATAAACTGTAATTAACTCTCTCGCAGCCCCGGGGGGGTTCAGGGCCAGGAGCGAGGGCTCCTCCCCCCCCACACAGGGAAGCCAGTTAAACCCTTTACCTGCCAAAGAAGTGTAGATGGGAACTGGTTATTCTGTATGCACTGGAGAGGTGCCGCCTGTCACATGATTCCCTGCGGACCGACCCCACCGGGAGCAAGCTGAGCCAACGGGGCCCTGCCAGAACCTTTCCTCATTACCATTACAATGCAAAGCGAGGTATTAGCAATCCCCCCGTGCATGTGATATTGTAGTTTAGGGTCATGCGAGGTCATTCCTGCCGCAAAATCTCAATCAATATCTACGACAACAGCTTCTGAGTCCTGGCCTGTGTGGGAGAGCTTACAGGGACATCTGCCAGGCTGTCAGGAGACAAAAGCTTTCCTTTGCCAGGTTGAAGTGATTTCATAATCGGCTCCGTTAGCCGACTTTGGACGAGCATAAACATCAGAGGTTCCTTCGTGATGCAGAGAGGCGTCAGTTTCAAAGCGGTAATATTTACGCATTTTTTCCGACAAAAGTTCTTAAATCTGATCCGTTCTCTCGTAAACATTCTTTGTTTTAATAATGGCGGTATCGGGCTATGAAAGCGGAAATGTGAGACTCCGTAAAGGATGTAGTTGGCAGACCAATCGCAGCCTTGTGCGCTGCGGGAGGCTTGCGTTGAAAGCGACGCAAGCCGAGAAAAATGGGTCGACGCACGCAAGGACGCAAGGAGGTGTGAAAAGCGACGCAAGGGGGGCTTGCGTCTGCGTCGCTCTGAAAACGCAGAAGCATAAACTAGGCTTTACGGGGAAACCATTTCTCTCCTTCGGTGGTCTGCAAATAAAACACATCCCTGAGCAGGAAAACCCTTAAATCCATCCCCCTCACCCATGTCAATCTTCTCCACTCACAAGTGCTATAGCGGGTCAGGAGAGACTGCTGCTCGCAAACCGCTTCGCCCCCCCCAGCCGACGCGAGAGGGGAAATTCCCACTTCTCAAATCTCCCGCTGCACCTCTCAGTGCAGTTGTTGTTGAGAATGTGCTAACACGCAAAAAAGGGTGTCTATTCTGGTCATAATGAAGACTCCAGGGCCGAGAGGAGCCGGGAAGGAGACAAGAGGAGTGTATACGCCAGCGTCCCTCCCGCGAGGGTTAATTTGCCAGTCTTAAGCGCAATCCCCGCCTGGGTTACTCAGAACGCACAGCCCGGCTGTTCCTCAACGTTTCAGTAGTATTGCGGCTTCTAACTAGTGCACGATTCTCGCTGGAGCATTGCAGCCAGAATGAAGCCCTCGCCGGTTAGGAGGAGGACGGATTTAAGGGGTGAAGAGGGTACAGGAGGGCTTTGCGAAGGTCAGCTGTGTGTTTGTGTGAATGTGCAGGAAAGCCATTCATTAAGGCTGGACGTCAGGGGACCCAGCCAGGGGCTTAGGGGGATAACTCATTATGTTGGGCTGAGCCATCTCCTTCTGTTCACACATGTGGTTGAAGATACACTGCAGCACGTAATCAACAGACTGAAAGATCTAGTATGATGTGATAAAGTTAAAAATAACAATATGAGGAATACGGATGACAAAATGTGAGAGAACACTGCCTACAGACACGCCTGGTATGCAGGCTGTACTCGGTTTCACTTCACCTTTGTCCTTACTGTCCTGCAGTGGCCCACAGCTCATTAGCGCCATGCAGCTGTTTTTACCGTTTGTATGTGTTGCTTCTCACAGCCTGAGCCTGTAAGGTTAAGAGCACTGTGGTTGGTTAATGGTCCTTTCGATTAGTACAGCCATGCGCGAGACAAATGGCTCAAATCTTCCCCACAGAGGGAGAGGAGGTCTGTTTTTGTGAGATGCAGAACATTAGGAAGTTTAATATGGTGTTAGGTCATTACCGCGGAACATAAGGGGAATTAATTAGCATAATATGTTTAATTGTATTCCCTGGATAAAGCCATGCCCCATATAAATGATTAACAACCAACCGCCAAGAACATCATCTAGCAGGCAGGCGCTTGCCCTTTTTAAATATGCATTAGCGACCAACTTGCGCCAAAACCACTTTGCTAATCTCTCTCTCTCATGTGTGTGGATATTATACCAACTGGGCCGTTAAGACCTGTGTAACATCCCAAGCCTCCACCCCTCGCCATCGCATCCCTCCCAAAATAGTGCTTCTATGGCGTTCTAAGCCCTCGCACTCTTTCGTGGGATTTCATCCGGGCAGCGGCTGCGTAGCTTCAATCACACAAAACCAACAACCTAACACATAGCAGGAGCCACCAGACTGATCGCTGAGCCGAGGCTGCTGTGTGCGCACCAGGTTTGTGAGCGCTGAAACACACCGAGGCCAGAGCCTCAGAGGCGAGGCCGCTGTCTGGCCGAACTACCAGCAAACAGCGCTAATTGAAGCCAGAAAAATGCCTAGCAGCTGGAGTAGTAGCAGCTTTCTCACTTTATTCACCTTTTTGATGAGAAACACTGCATGGTTTTCAAATCCTTTACTGGATCCGGCTAAAGTAACCACAGCTGTCAGACAATGTCATAAATTACAGTATACACATTTGATAGGATGGAGAAAAAAAATCAAGAACAAGATGACAATTTAATGTTTGTTATGTACCACACACAACACATCCGTGCCCGTGAACTAAGGAGACAACTGTAGCAAAGGCAGAAACAGATAATGCCGGGGGGGCGGGGAGGGCTCTGTAGTGTGGACTCAGGGGCATGCACCTATGATGTAATGGCAGGTAACCTCTGCAGAGCTGTGCAGTGTCATGCAGCCTTCATCTGGTGGCGAGAGACACACGGGATGAGCAACACTCATGTAGTCTACGGCCAGGGGCTTGTGAGACTGTTCTTATACTCAACTGTGCTTTGTTTAAAAAGCTAATGTTGATGCTGATCCATAGCAGGTGGACTATCATCTATCATTCATCATTTAGCTCTGAACACAAAGGAGAGCTGATGCTGATGAGAAGGTCATGGAGGTATTTGGTTACACACAATTCGCAACAATGGTGCAAGTAATTAGAAATGGGAACATGGGATGCTAGATGAAAAGTCAAACATGAGGTAATTCTGAGGGAAACATGAACATCTAGACCAGGTGTGCCCAATAGGTGGATCTAAAGGAACCCAGGCTGACTCCAGTAAGGTAATGACTAAGAATGTGCGGGATGCTCGTGACTGACCCTCCTTCTGACAGTATTCCTCATATCGACTTGTAATGTTGTTGGTCACCACTAATATTTACCGGCCAGTCTCTTTCAACTTAAACTTATTCACTGTCACCTTTGCAAGTCTTTTTCTCCATCTCCATCTGGCATTCTCTATCTCGCTCCCAGTTGTACAGCAGTAAGCAGAATCAAGCCCAAACCACTGACGGATCACATCGCTCCTCCAGCGGCAATGGTTTTACCACACTGGTGCAGAAGGAATGCATTTGCAGAAATTTGCTGGTGAATCACAACAAAGTGATTTATTTTGTCCTGACGTGTGGGCCGGTGGCGCTGCACTCGCAGCAGGTAAACAATGGTGAGGTTGCTTGGAGGAGGGACTTTTCTTTCTCCGGCCTATTTTATCCTCTTTCCTCCGCACACATCATCACCCAGCTTCCCCTCAGAAA